CTGAGTGAGAGAACATGATCAAGATAATTGGCCATGCTGAGATAACTGACTTCACTGTTGGAAAGACACCTTGGATAAATTGCTACCTAAATCCTTCTTACACTCTTCAATACTTTCTTCATGTTGCTCTTTGTTCACTAAGTAATGACTGAAAAGAATCTGGCATAAAACTCACTGATGGTGGGGTAGGCAGCTTGAATTAAGATCATGAGGAAAAGGTATCACATTTTCACACAGTTAAAAGTGTTGGTCACCAAAAATACATATAAAGAGAAGTGATCTTTCTCTCTCTGTGCTCTGAGGAAATCACCCATCTGACTCTCTTCAAGCAGGGCCTTCTGTACTTTACCTTTAAAATTTGAGAGAACTATTACATTAGTGTGCAAGTTGGCCGAGGTTTGTTGTCTGTTCCTCCAACTGTCCACTCTTAAATGCATCTTATTTTCTTTTGTTTGCCTTTTAAAATTTCTATTCATACCAAAAGACAACCTTTCAAAGATGTCTTTCAAATTCGGAAAATAAGTCCTTCTGTTAGTGACATGTAATGAAAGTATTTACAGTAGTGCAAATGGTGATTGATCACTATATGGTGAATAGCAATAAACTATCAAAAGAGATTAATTATGCAAACAAAGATCTCCTCAGATGCCCCAAAAACTCTAGCTTGCTCTTGTTTGATAGATCATGTTGAATAGTCCAAAGGATAGAAAATGGACATGAAGTTATAGTTCCTACACAAATGTTGATCTGTAATAAAATGAGAATATTTTTTCTAATTATAGATACTTTGGGTTTTTGGCATGTCTTGCTGTACCCAAGCTTGTTTATATTTAGATACAGCTGATGTAAATTAAAATCTTGACAGTCAGTAGAACTAAAAAAATTTATAGCAGGTGAAATTTTGCTCTTCTGCTGGGCACACCACGATATTTAACTTTTTCTGTTAAAAATACCTATGTGCTGCTGAGCACTGCAGCCATTTAGAAGAATGAATTTTTCAGCTGTTGTGAGCTGAACAAAACAATTTATTTTAAAGACTAATTATGTTCTTGAAGGTTCCTGATTTCAGAATCTTTATTTTCATCTTTCCAAGAAGTTTAAGATGCCTGTCACTGCAGCTACCTCCCCAAAGTGAAATTTCATCTTGGTGGCTTTCTACCTGTACAGTGTGTATTTTATATTTGATTCTGGCAGCCTCTTCAGAGTGATGTAAAGGTGTTCCGTTCTCATCCCAAATTGTCAGGGAGCAGTGCTGTCACAAGGAATTGTTCTGCTCATGGCTTTTGTTTATGTCCATGGGAACTTTGCTACTTGGGAGAAGTCTCATCTAAAGAGTGGGATGAGGAAGGGAAAAGGTAATCCTTGAGCATTTGAACGAGATACAGGCACAGACTCTATAGCCCCACTGGTTGGCTTTGACATGATTTTTTGTTCTGAAGGCAGGAGGTTCACCCAGGAGGAGTTTTGCAGCTCCTCCTGCCTCGGAGAGCCTGAGCCTGTTCTGCCCTGGCTCACGATCCTCAGCCTGGCTCCAGACCTGGCAGCCCAGGGTCTCCTTCCAAGCCTCACCCAGCACCACCAGGAGGACAGGGGGGCACAGATTGCCATGGGAAGGACCAGCTTAGCTTTAGAATATAGAAATACCACCTTTCTTATGACTTTTCTTATAGCAAGTCAAACAGCAGGAGATTGAAATGATGAAAATTGCTTCTGATTAATTCTAGAGAAGGATAAGAAGTAAAAGGAATAGCACATTTACTTGCTTGTTTCCCCTTCCATTACAGTCTCTCTTACCCAATGTTTTTAGATTTTTCAAAAAATGTTTAAAGCAAACCTGAGATCTTTCACATTATCCTTTGGGAAAAAAGTATTTGTTTTTAATGTGATTCAATATTTATTATAATTTATTACTAATTTCTTTTGGTGAGTGTAACTTTCCAAAGTGGCCATAGAGAAATCATTTCAGAAGATGCTGAAACTACTAATATCACACCAGAGGAAGTGAGCAAATGGCTGTTGGCCTTTTGTCCTCTTATCCAGAGAGTAACCATTACTGTACTGCATCAGATGAACAAAAATATAATTGTTTTCTGTTAAAAAAGATTTTCTTTTCTTCACAGCATTGTGATCTAAGCCAATTTTTAAATGACAAGATTATTCTGAATTCTACTCAGCTGTGTTTTCAAAGCTCCAAACTATAAACCTTGGACATGTGTTCTCTATTGCTATAGGTCTCAGTAAATAAAATGCTTTAGGTACATTGGAGAGTTTCTGAGGTGTTTAACTAGAAAGATTCAGGGTGTGCTCAAAGCTGACTGAGATGTGGTGGGCAGTTTTTTTTAAATTTATATTTATTCTTTTTACATATTAGTTGAAAGCAGAAAAGTGCCAGGCTTCTCAAAAGCCTCAATTTTCTTTCCATCAGTCCATGAAAATAAACTCTTGCTTTACCCAAAGTGGCTGAACTCAGGTTCAATATTTGGCATACTTTAGCTCCAGGATTGCCTCTCAGTTTGTAATGGGAATTAAACAACCAATGTGTTTTGCATAATGTTTTAGCATAGGAGTATTCAATAAAAGTGCTTAATTTTCAGCTTCAATAGAAATTTCTAAAATATTTGTAAAATATAATGATTCTATTTTGATGCAGTAGTAAACCACCATAAATTCTTGGGGCACAGGAAAAAATATGAATTTTATTACTTCTCCACTGATTTTGAAGTAGAGTTTGCATTTGCAATGAAGTCCTGCTACCTAAAATACTGATTTAGGAAAGTGTATATATTAGAATGCTAATTTCCTAATTTAACATTTTTATGTATTAGAACTGTGCACCACAAGGGCTCTCATTTTTCTAAATAATAGAAAGCCTCTGCTTGCTGCCATGTGAAGTAGTTCACAATAAATAATGTTGGAGCTGGTAAGAACTGTGTGCTCTGTTAAGTTATTCCTTGTCTCAGCAAGTGAAGGATGGGCTTCAGGCTAGTTTCTAGGCCAAATCCCACCACATTAGTTGATGAGATACTAAAAATCTTCAGTAACAAGTTTCTCATGCATTTTCTGAGACTCTGCATCAGTTCAGTAGAGGGATTTTAACAGTTCAATCGAGATCTGAGGTAATAATTAGTATATGTAGCATTTACAAGGTGCAAGAAGGAATTTCTTCGTGAGGAACATGAGGAACACCATATTGAGATGTGAGGCATTAGTTATGGTCTGAGATTCCAGGATTAAGGGGAAAAGTTAAATCTAATAAAACAATTTTGGTGTTTTAAGATTAAAGGACTGTAAAAATTGAAAGCAGGATTCAGTTGCTGGTGTTTAAGAAGCTGCCTGCTCCAAAGCTTTGAGCAGTGATAAGGCTGAGGAAACGCAGGGTGCAAGGGGAGATACAGATGGGGTCTCTCTCCCAGAACTGGGAGAGACTAAGCTTTGTCAAGGCTAAAATTTAATTTCAACTTAAAGAGTAGTTTTTAAAAGTGCCAGATGCAACACAATTCCAATGAGTTGGAGACTTGCTGAGCTTCCTGCTTGAGATAGGCAGTGGTAAGTGTATTTGTTGTATGAGATACAGGAGCTCTCACAGAAATGCCATTGCAGTTGGGTTGCTTCCTAAGAGCAAGAGTTTGGGATATTTCCTGCATATTTCCTGGCTGTTCTTGCAAATTCTCGCACTTTGATGTATTTCTATTTGTTTCAGTGAGATTTGGGACGGAATATGGGGGGGAAAAAATAACACTTTTATTTTTTCATTCTCTGTGCTAGACTGTCTCAAACATTAATGACCACAGGTTTTCTTGTTCTATATGCAGTGTTTCCTCAAAAGACAGCAGGAATCTGATCACTTCTAGAAAAAGATATTTTAGCCTACACATTTTCTCTAAAATGTGAATGATTGCAGTGGCTGATGTTTACAGTGAAAACACAAAGTAAAATCGATAGCACAAATATATTATTTTGTGCCCTAAAATATTCTTTTTTGCAAGTTTTTCATGCTTTTATGGCAAGTCAGTCCTGCATGTTTCAAGAAGTCTTAGTTCTAACCATATTTTTAATGTATTGCTCATCTGACAATGAACCAGATCCAGGCATGCACACTCAATCTGTGACTATTCGGTAAAATTCTTTGTTATTCTGCTGTGCCCTTCAAGGGTCTTAGTTGATCATGTGCTATAAATCTAGGTAAAACAAAATAAATTTTAAAAAAACCAAAAGAGCAAGTATTCCAAATTATTTAGCACACAGGTACCACATTCACACTTGTTACAGTGTAAGTGCTACAATATCTGAAGCTTGCAAAGCAAATTATCACGTGACAGATCAAGTTATGGAAAACTCAGTCACTTCTAAAGCAAAAATCCTTCTTTGTTTCAGTGGCTAAAATGGGATAATATTATAATATCATTTAATGTAGACTGAGGATGTTGGAGTTTGGGTTGTTTTGGTTTTTTGTTTTTGTTTGGGTTTTTTTGTTTTGTTTTGAAGAGTTTAAAAGTATTTGTTACAGATGAGATTTCCAGATTTAAATCTCTGTATTCCACTTTTGGTAATCCAGGTACCTAAACATCTGCCCTCCAAGGGAATGCATCTGCCCTGTACTCAGTAATGTGGCACACTACAAAAGCCTTTGAAATTCAAAATAAAAGGTCACTATAGTATAACCTGCTATTTGCTGGGAAATGCATATGTAAGTGGCTTTTTGTGATTCTTCATGAAGCTTTCAGACAGATATCCCCTCAGGAGCTGTGGATTTCTGTAGTGTGTGTGATGATATTTTTCATTCAGGTTCCATATCAGCATTCTTTACACCAGTACTTCTTTAGGCACCTGGGACTTTGTATAATGGGTTCTGCAAATTTATTTCACTTCTCAGTAAACTTATTTTACTTGCTGTGTGGAAATGGTTCTCCTTAATGTATTGCCACATCTCATTATTGATCAAAGCAGATGTACAATGCCAGTTTCCTGTGGTTCACAAAAGTTTACCTTTGCCATTGCAGGCATGGCAAGTCAGCTGGAAATTCAGAGTGCCAGGAGGGAAGTCCAAACTTACTTTGCAGAAGAAGGTTCTGCTGTTTCACTGATCTGAAAAATCCTGTGCATCCCTCGGTGGTTTCACCTTGCACTCAGGTTTGAACATACCCAACTCTATCCTTTCATATGTAATAAGAAAATATTCTAGTGGTCAGGAGTGATTGCTTATTGTTTATAAAGGTTGATGCTACCAAGTTACTTGTAACCTGTCTTGTTACCACTTGTAGTTACCAGCTCTGGAATGATTTTTCTTTTGAAGGAATAAATTTGGGGTTTTTTCCTTAAAAACAGTTTAAACTACTCAGAGTTTTTGACCTCTGGAAAGAAATTCACAGCTGACAGGCTGTTTGTGAAGGACTTCACATCTCACATAGTAACCCAGAAGGAAAAAAAAAGTTTGCAGGTTTCTCTAGATTCAGAAAGTGTAGATTTTAACTTTGAGCATTGTATTTTGAGTAAAACTCAATATGGCACCAACTGGCATGATTATCATGAGATAACTGGACCCAAGGGATTAGAAGCATTTGGCTACATGTACCTGTAAGAGCCCAGAATGTAAATTATAATAATTACTTCACAATAAAAGTCTGCAGAGCTGTACCTTATTTGCCAGGTAGCTTGAGGTTAGCAAAATGCTTTTGGATACTTTCAGTAATTTAATTTCCTTCATACCCTAAGGTTACTTATATTAACATCAGTCTGATGAAGGTGTGAAATGAGCAAATGCAAATATAACTGATTCAGTATACAAATATACAGATTCAATGCTTATTTGTAAAGAAAATGTTTATGCCCAGTATTGTTTAAATATTTTAAATTTTTTTTCAAAACTAATTCTGCAGATGCCTTCTGCAAGTGCTCAGTTGTTATTGTCTATAAAGTCACATTTCACTGAGAATATTAATCAAACAATTTTAATACATTATGGTCAGAAGAGAAAGAGAATATGAGATAACTTTAAGAACTTTGGCCTTTTTGCTGAACTTGACATTTCTTGGATATTTTATTGTGGATAATATTCCTCTGTTTGTTATACCAACATAGCCTTCAGTGCTGACAGGGACACTTTCTGTGCTAGAAACTCCTCACATCACTCGGACTGCCAAATGTGTGTCAGCCTCACAAGGGAAAGGGAGAAACCTCCAGGGTCATATGAAATGAGAAGGGTGGTTGATAGCTGATGTGGTGAAGCAGGCAGTTCTAGCACTGCTTACATTCTGGTAGAAGAAAATAGCACATTTAAAGTTCACATATGTTCTCCTCCATATATCAGCACTCCATAGCAGGGAGATAAGGAACAAGTGTATTTAACCTGTATTCAGCTCATAATTGGTAAGGACTCTGTGGATGTTTTTTGCATCTTTGAGGTATAAAATTTTCATTTATTTTCTGTTAACAACCAAACTTTTAACTCTTTGGTTACCTGACCCAAATTAAAGAGGTTGCTGTCTCATGGTGTATGAATTTGTAAACTGCACCTTAGAGCTGCTTTGCCTTTCACTCCCAAGTGAGTTTATGTGCAAGTCCCAAGCTTTTTTATCTGCAAGTGGTTTGGGGTTTTTTCTGTGATTATCAATTGAAGCATTTCACTTGTAAAGTCGTTGGAAAAGTTAGATGACTGGATTCATGCTTCCCTTAGATTTAAGGCTTTAGTGGAGCAAATTATGCTGCTACTGGTGGGGAGGGGAGAAGGGGAGAAAAACCTCCAAACCTTTGATCATTGAGTTTTCTCTTTCTTTTGGGACTTAAGAACAGCTTCATCCAGTTAACCTCCTTCACAGGGTGCTGCTCAGCACAGTAGATGATGGCACAGTGCTGTAGTAATAGGTGTGAGTGAAGGCACTTCTCGACCTTCATCTTTTCTCAGGAATTAAATACTTCTCTGGCTACTTCTTTATGACTAAAGAAGTAACTGAACCTAATTTTTAAATAGATCTGAAAAGTAAAACTTTTTTTTTTTCTGCCCAGGTATAAAGTCTCTGAATATGCAGGAATTGGAGGTAAGTTTTCTTTGCTGCTTTCTGAAAATGTAGGTTGAATTTGACCTACTCTAAAACTTACCTATATGTAAGAATACAACAGTTGGCAGTGCAGTGCTGGCCAAAGTTTGCAGTCATTAATTATTTCCACCACAGAAATATATCATGCTATTAGAACAAAAGCAGACTCTCCTTGTAACTCCAGGAAATCAAAGTTCAGCCCCCCAAAAGTAATAGCCTGTCATTACATTTCTGTTTATCAGAGAACAAAATTTTGCTCTTGCTGACTTGAAAAAGATCCCTGGAGTAAATGCTTCCATAACATACATAAATCATGTTCTCCATCAACCTAATGATATTTTGGGGGTGGCATCATTAGCTTTCCACACATTATTTTGCCTGACAAGGGATGAAAACTCTGTTCTAATTATCCAGGAACTGAATAACAGGGACAAATAAATAATACTGAATTAAATTTTTTATTATCTTTTCAGGAAAAAGACAAGGAAAAAAAAAAAAAACCAAACAAACAACACCTTTCCAGGGTCTGATTTTTAGTCTCGAGGACCATGCTCTTGAAATGAAAAAATTTCATGTTTTGCTTGTATTGTAATTGCTTATTCTTATAGATAGGGTGGATAAAATACTTGGGGTATTGTCATTGTCAGTGGATTACTGATTTGTCTTAATGCTGCTTGACAAACTGTTCAGGATGTTGATCAAAATTTAAATGATTTTGTGTTTACAGGATCTGCGATATTGTTTCCCCAAAAACACTTCTTGTCTAGGTGGGTATGCAGCGTCTTTCATTCAAGAAATCCAAGACACATTCTTTCCATATATTACTTCATTAAATCAAAACACAAAAACTAAAATGCTTTTAAAACTAACTAGAACTGCTAATCTGCATAAAGTATATTAATCACATTTATAGTAACTAATTGGTATATAAGCACTACTATGACAGAACATGAACTAAATTTTGGATGTCACAGAATGTGGTACTGTAATTTGTGCCACAGAATTATGGTTGCCAGTCTTGCTATTTCTGCTCCAGCAAGAGGGAGCAGTGAAATGTCCCTTGATCACTTGAAGCTGCTCCATTGGGTTAGGTTGGGAATATTTTCTTGTGGGAGGGATGACTGTGACTTCTCTATCCTTTAAGACTGATCTCCATAGACTGGAGATTCCAACTGGAATCCCATGTTGTCCTCTGAAAACAAGGACTGAAATACCCATCTTAAGGAAGAAAATTCTGAACAAGTGCATGTCACTGTTTTTCTGACACCACTTTGTGTAGGCAGACTCCCTCACATGGAGAAAGTAGGGTTCAAAAAAGATGGAAAATTTGGACTACTGATAGGAATTTTGTGTCTGAATTATTAATCTCTAAAATTAATGAATTTGTTTGTCATTTATAGTTTTCCAAGCTGACCCTAACTTTTCAATTGCTGAAGCATATTCTGCTTAACCATAGTACCACTGTGAATTTTTAACTCATTCTTTTAATGCCTTGAAGTGTACCTCATGCTTTCCTGGTAGGGTTTGCCCAAACTGAGCCTTCTTATTTTCTAAAGTAGATTTTGGATTAAAGCCCTGCTTTGTCCTGTCCATAAACCATGGATTTCAGGCAGCAAAGCCAATAATCACAATATCATTAATAATTTTCTACAGTGGGCCTGACTGGGATGATTTCAGGATGTTGGTAACTTGTACACACACATTGCTGTGTTTCTGCCTGTAGCTCAAAACCAGTTTTACAGAATTTTACAGAACCAGAACCACCCTAACATGCTATTAGCTCCTAATGACAACCATTCAGCTTTGTTACCCTCTGCTCTGCCAGCTCTCAGTCTTCTGTTATAAAGTTAATGAAATTGCTGACATTTAAATGTCTTCTCATCCATACTCCAGGTAATTACCTGTATATACTTTAATGATTTCCCCAAACACTTCATGCAATTAAAGCCATAAGTAATTTGTCTTTCTTCTAAAACATTTTGAGGAAGCATACATCTTAGGGCTATTTGTGTCAAAATATTATTGTCCCCTCTAATTTGGAAAGATTCCTAATATTTTTAAAATATCTGGGACTAATTTAGCTATTAAAAAAACCCAAATTACTTAAATTTGCATAAGGTCTCTTTTGAATCCTGATTTTCCTTGAAGCTGCTCATCTATATTAACATAGTACATATCTGTTCAAGCCTATGAGGAAAAGTTTTGATGCTTGTTGAGACAAAGTAATTTGATGGATTATTAGGTACCTTTACCTCGATTCTAGTATTAAATAGAAGGTGTTTAGCTATTTTGAGGATTGCAGCTTCAGCTATGAGTGACTGTTCTGCCAGAAAGCAGACATTTCATACATTTCTTGTGTGTGGCTCTCTGAACCTTCTGGACTGGCAGACTACCTCGGTATCATTTTATAATTTGCTCCATTGAGTATCCAGGTTTTATTCATTGCGTAGCTTATCCTATTTGTGCTTTCTGTTTTGGGTGTTACTTGCCCTCTGCTGCCACGCAAGAGTGGCCATGCTGAAGCAAATCTCATCCCAGATGACACGTGATTAAACTGTGCCCAAAGTTAGGTCAGCCCAAAGTCTGACTCCCTGTGGTGCTGTTTGTCCTTAATGCCTGATAGAGTAGGGACTGTTCTGCTGCAGTACTTGGTAACATCATTTCTGTAATCACATTATTTGTTTTTCATTTCTTCTAGAGAGATGGAAGGTACAGTACCTAAGAGCTATTAAGTCAGAGATTCATTATTTCATAGCATTTCTACTTTTGATGGACCACTGTGACTAGGCAGGAAGCCAAGTAGATAACTTTTTTTTTTTTTTTTGCTTTCATTACAGAATCATTCTTTTTCTACAACTTAAGGCTAATGGTTGATTGTCACAATTATTAACAGATTTTTTTTTTTTTTCTGGTGAATGCTGTGCAGTAGATTTTGTTCCAGTATTGGAAATAGAAGCTAGGAGTTCTTATTTCACAATTCCTGTTGCATTTTCAAGTCTTACAAATGGAACTATTGCACCTGGTGATATTTTTCTTTTCCAAGTTTAAGTGTCTTTAAACCTGTGTAAATTCTATTAAAATTCAGAACAGGACAAGTGGTAACCAGGTTGTGATATTTAGTAGGGAGAACTGTCTGTTTTCCATCATAAATCAATAGCTAACACCTATTCATTTCACATAGTCCATCAAAGAGCCCCTGCATGATTGTAATGTTTTTCCCTGTGAATTTTAAGCAGTGAACTGAACCTTTTACATTCAAAATACCTTTGCCAGTCCCAGCTTCCTTATACAAAACAAGTTTTAGTGTCATCCTGTGTTTTGTTACCTGTGTTTGAGTGTCAGCTGACAAACTTCTGAAGCTGGTCAGTTTTCTTGCTCCTTCAGATGGAAAAGGAAATGTTGAAAGAATTTACTTATTTTCAGATATTGGCAGATATCACAGCAAAAGCCCCCCCTTCCCATTTGATTGGCTCATGTAGTGAATTCTGCTAATGCTCCTAAAGTGCTTTGTAGTTATAAAATATTCTCCCAAGTGTGTAGGAGCAGGCGTCCAACAGCAGCTGGTTTATCCTGAGGGGCTGCTTTGCACAAGGTCAGGCTGCTGCAAGGATGGGCCAAGGTCATCTCTGCCAAGTTCAACAAGGCCAAGTGCCAGGTCCTGCACCTGAGTCACTCACCAGCCCATGGGTTGGTCTCTTCTCCCAGATTTCTACACCAAAAGGGATGTCAGCACTGGAGCAGGCTGCCCAGGGATATGCTGGAGTCCCCATCCTGGAGGATTTTGAATGAAAGAAGCACAGCTGAGGGCCACGGTTTGGTGGTGAACAGGGCAGTGCTGGGATAATGATTGGCATCAATGATCTTAAAGTTCTTTTCTGGCCCAATTGTTTCTGTATTTCTGTGGTAGTCTGACTGACTGTCACACTAGAGACAACAACACAGCTTTCACTCAGTGAACAGCAAAGTCAACCTTACAGGATTCCACATCAAAATCTTCCCATTAATTTGGGAACCAGCAGACCCATGTAATGCTGTGCAGCTGCAGCATTTCCTAGCTTGGAGATGTAATGAGCCATTAGCATACTACACTGGCTGGAAATTGTCTTTATACTTCAAAAGGAAAAAGAAGATGAAAAAGCACAGAGATGAAACACAAATTTTCCCTATTCCTCAGTTGTTAAAAATACAAAAGGTCACAATTGAAAGCTAAACTTAGGTTGATTCCTGGTGAAGAGAGGCTGTTTCATCTCTTCTGTCTTAGAGAAGCTTAGATATTTAAGAAAACATTCTGGTACCATCTGCAGCACCAAGTGGGTGAGTGGCAAGCTGTTAAGAAGGATGTGGATTTCTGTTTTGATGTATGTACATCATTGTTGAAATTCAGAGAGCCATGCCAAAAGTATTTTGATATAAACATAATGTATTTTTTAAACATTAAATCCACACTTACTTCAAAAACAAGTTTTCTAGCCATTTGTATAATAAGGTTTATTCATGAGTTTTAATCTGAACCTTTAAACAGAGGGTTTACTCAGTTTCCTGTTGCTTTACAGGTTTTAGAAATGTTTGCTGTCCTAAATGAGCACCTTGTGTCAGAAATTTCCATAGACGCATCATTCTGAGGTAAATTTTTATTCTGTGAAAGTAGATGTCAGGTATAATTGGGAGATTGCATCAAAGTTCAAAGGCAGAAATCCTCACTTTTCCAGATTGAATCAATCTGGCATTTCAGGCTTTGTTCTGGTTCTGTTCTTATCATTGCAGTTTTTGGAGACCACGTGACAAAAAAAAATTTAAGTGCATGTTCTAAATACATCTGGTTATTTATTGAAACTTAACAAAATTTAATTTTGTCTTTATCTTGCTTAATTGTTGTATATGGCTCTGACTTGGTTATTTCATAGATATGCAGATGAGGATTTCTGAAACAACATGTGATAAGAACTTAGCCTTGGAAATAGAGGATGTCTGCAATGAAATGGAATTTTTGAATGGTCTCATTATCCTAAGGATTTTTCCTTACACAGGCCTGTGGGAATATGCACTGTAGCAAATGTCAATGACAACATTTATTTTTCATAGCCGTATGGCTACATAATAAATGCAAAATGTTGCTGTCCCCTTAGATCAAAAAATCCAGTTTACTTCTCCATAGTTTGCAAGAAACCATGTCACGCTTTGGAATTTGATGTTAAGAGGAGTTTTTCTACAAGACTTGAGCCTTTGGCTACTGCTTCTCTGAGGTTCCGACATCCACAGTGTGTAAGTCCTTAGGCTAATTCTACAGCACTGTCCTTAGGCCAGTCCTTGGTTACAGTTAGGTGCAAAAGGTCTTAATGCTGAATTTCAGGTCCCCAGAGCTTCTGATTTTAAGAGGGTTCACTTCTCCCTCACAGTAGCCAGTAATGCTTTAAACACATCTTCTGTCATCCCCAGGTGATGATCAGAAATGTGTTTGTACTTTAACATTTTATTTTTTGATCAGTATATGGAGCATATCAAAGTCTGACCCTTCACCTCTAGTCAATTAGACAAAACCAACATTCTTACAAAACAAGCTAAAATACCAGAAAGATGACGTCTAGGAGCTGTGTAATTAACTGGCTCTTGCTCATCCTGGTAAAGCAATGTATGGTGCTGCTTTTAGCATGTTGATCTCAGAATTGCTACTAGTAATGGCCTGAGTTATAAAAATATCTCATTCAGGAAACAGTTGGGTGAGATGAGCTCAGGTGAAATCTGCTGCAAAGATCCTACAGTCTTCAGCAGGCTTACAAGTGTAGAGGCTTGCAGGGTTGATGCTTTATCATCTGTAGAGCACATAAGATTCTACATGAACCCTGCTGCAGGTGACCCTGCTTGAGCAGGGTGTTCTTCCAGCCTCAGCCATTCTCCCATTCTCTGTCTTCTTACTGTATTGAGCTTTCTGTTCTTGCCTTTTCTGAAAATATTAATTCTGCATAGCGGACAAGCAGCACCAGCCTTGATTAGCTACATTTCTTTATTCCATTTCTCCTGAATTCTGCCTGGTTCTGAGGACAACTTTCCTAAACCGTGTCCAGCCCCAGCATTAGCTTAAGTCCTTAGCGATCACAAATGCTAAAGGAAAGTTGCTGCTTTCATTCTGTGTCCTTTGTACTATGCAGAAAAACCTGATTTCCTACAGGGGTATTTAAGCTGTGCTGCTGGGAATGTCTGGCTGGAGAGCCTCACATGATCCCTTGGAAAGTGATGGATTAACAGTGTGCTGGAGAGTGTTAAAGAGCTCTGAAATGGCAAATGCTGTCATTTTACAGACCCTGTCCTTTAACAATAGTAGACCATGTGAGGGAGGGCAAAAGGCTTCCTTAAAACTGACAAAACTCATTGAGGCCTGAGGAAACTGTGATTCACCTCTTAGCAGTAAAGTAGAAAATCCCAGAGTATCCCAAACAAAGCATTTATAGGCAAATTAAGAGCCTGCAGAATTTGAGTGTAAGTGCATGATGCCATAAATACTAAGTGCTATCACTTAACTCAGCTATTAGGTCTAATTAACTTGATGGAGACTATTTGGTAATAATAAGTTAATGGTGTATTCTTTGGAACTGGAACATGACAACATTACACCCCTGTTGATAAAAATGACAGAATTATGGTCAATTACCTGTGGGCAGATACAGCTGTTATTAAATCCTGCTATCTATGCAATGCAAACTCACATGTGTCCTTAGAAATAAATTGCTTCACCAGTAACAGCCTCACCCCCTATTACAGCAAGGCTGCTGTGTGTGCTGATGAATTGGAGCTTTGCCTTACTTGTTTTGAACATAAAAGATGTGCTCCTTCATCTTATTGTACACAGAGAAAATCCAGAAACCCCTTGATTTTCCTGCTGATATCTGATTTCCACACTCCTCCAATTTCGAGTGGACTGCTGAAAAGTCCTCCCTGTTTCCAAGCTAGACGAGATCAAGTTCATAGCAAGCATTAGAAGAGAAAGCATTCATAGAAAATGCTGTGTTCGCCCTGTGGATTTGGTTGTGTTGGATGCAGTGACACAGGCAGAATTACGCTGCCTGCTACTAATAAAGTTACAAAATAATATTTGGCAAAATGCAAAGATTTAAGTGTCTTCTAAATTGTGAGCCTGTATGTAGTTTACCTTCTCAGTGATAACAGCTTTGTTGTACACAGCAGAAACTGCAATGGAAATCACATCTCACAAAATTATTGCCAACTGGCAACTGAGACCTAAATTTAGAAATCCATTCAGTTTTCCAGTTAATCAACTGTGCTTGATAAAATGGACAGTAGTAAATTAAAATTACATATTAGTCAAGTTGCAGTTATCTATTGCTGTATATAGATAGCACTGGTAAAAATCAATTTTTTGCCATCTTTAATTAGCCTTGTTCTATATTATAAATGTAATTAAAATGCCATTAGTGGCATATTTGTAAAGAAATCAATTCTATTCATAAAATATTTCTTACAGCAAAAAACAAACTAATACCCAAGCTAAAACAACAAACCAAAAAATAACTGCATGAGGTGCATTTTAGGAAGCTATGCTTTAAAATACAATCATATTGCTCCCATCTTTTCTGTTTTTCCAGTTAGTTTAGAAATGTCAGAAGGCCATCAAAGCTGTCTGAATGCCTAATCAAAGTACAGCTGAATTTCTACATTAAAAACAAGATGCAAACTGATTTTCATGGTATCCTTTATCTTTCTCTCTGAATTCTTGCTCAGAGTTTTATTGTCTAGCTGGACCTAATCTTTCAGGCTTTCAATGTAGGATTTTTTTTATTTTTTATTGGGAGGATTTCTTACCTAGAAAAACAGACTCTAATCAGCTGATCTGAATTATAGCCACCTATGCATGTAGAATTCCAATAATGCTACTGGAACTGCTTAGAGAAAGGCTGCTCATGGGGCAACTGGGAACACCAGCCTGTGTTTTGTGGGGAGATTAAAAGTATCACTTTGTCAGTATTGCTTAACATGTAAAACACGTTCTGCAAACCCCAGTGCTCAGGGGAAGAGCATACATTTTGCTTTTATATTCCCATTATGCCAGGAGCTTTGCAAACTCATAAGCAAAAATGCTATTTCCTATGTTCTTTGAATGTAAAACAGGCAGTAGGCTTGAAAAAAATAATCTCTAGAGTTGTGTGACCTATAAGGTTGTGTGTTTAATTAATGACAGAATTTGTGAAAGGCAAAAGAATCCTCCATTCCTGTTAAGGCTGGGGGTCTTTATTAGGACCTGGCATGTCTGAGATTTCTTTTGCATTCAGACCTGGTGATTTAGTTTTCCCTAGCTGAAACTATTCCAGATCTGTGATGCTGTATTCAGAAATAAAATCTCATTGGTGAAAAATAAGGTGATATTTTCACAGTCAGATCTCTGAGAACTGATTAGCAAGAGAGAGAAAATGAATTGGAAAAAAATCCAGCAAGTAGCACTTCCCACCCTTTTCATCTTCTGAATATATAAAAGTACAGATTAAAAAGATGCATATCTATGAAATACATATAAAGGAGTTTATTATCCACAAATATACTCAAGCCTGATTTACAGTTTGTTGAAACTGATGAGAATTTTTTTTTCAATTTTCTGTAGATCATTGCTGGGAGATTTATTGTTCGGCATCCAGATTTACGGACTTTGGGTTTTCTATCATCATTTTAAAACATTTTTTAGATTAAGATATGAAAATTAAGGTTATCATTGTTTAATGCTAATAAATTTCCTTTTGCATGGATCTCATGTATTTCAACCTTAAATTTTCTGGCACAGCATAAAGAATCCTCAGTGGATTGTGAATGATCTAAAGAAACGGCACTTGTTTTATTTCATTAAGGTTATGTAACAGTCTGCAAGTGCACAACTGGGCAGCTGTGGCCATGGGTCTAAAACCCCAATATTCAGTGACACTCCATCTAAAGTTTGCTTGCACTCCAGAATGAAAATAGCAATTTCTACTTTATGGTACTCCCTTATCAAAGCAATTGTCATATTACCATCAGTCTTTTTTTCTTTCTGACCAGTTTCTTTCTGGAGCTGTTTGGGGCGTTTGTTTTGTGAGTTTGGGTTTCTGTTTGGTTGGGTTGGGGGTTTTGTTTTGGTTTGGTTTTTCCCCCTCTGGGCTTTTTGTGGTTTGGGTGGGTTTTTTGCTGTTTGTTTGTTTTTAACGCAATCTGTGATTGTGTGGAACCAGTACTTTCCTTTCAGGGTTGCCAGATGTGACAATTAACTAGTGTTTGGATGCTGAGGGACACAGCACTTGTGGAATTGTCACACTATATTTTGGTGTTAAGCTGACTAAATATGTTGCTATGTTTTCCTGTACTTCTGGTTGTGAATGATGTCACATGGCAACCCATTCACCCCACCCTCAGTTCAGAAGAAGAAAGAAAATCTAAGCCTAACTGAAATACTCCTATGTACCAAATTACATTACTAAATAACAAGGTCAACATGCTGCTGTAATTTATCCTCTGTGCTTCCCAAGGCTATTAGGCCCTTCTCTGCATTACACACTTGTGTGTTCGTTTTTAAAAGCTATCTCTGTTCTAATGTGCAGAAGTACTTCAGTCTCTTGCTTGTTGGGATTTGAAGAGGATTGCTGGTTCTGAAGCTCTTGCCTGTTTAGATGCTGCAGTCTTATTGCTGCCTTTGACTTGTAGATGTAAGTTGCTACTTTATGGTGTTTCCTTCTCAGCTGCTTTTTTTCAGCGTACTGTTTCCATTCAACTGTCTTTTAAAACAAAACCACACAGTTAAATATCAGAGAACCCAGTCTACCCTGTCAGCTAAAGGATCATGAAACAGTGGCATATTTTCCCTTATCTGTTTCATTGATGGTTTCCAATACTGTGTTATATAATGTGTTAAATTACAGAAATAATAACTAAATACTGCATGATCCACTATGGGGAAAAAATCCATATAGGTTATAACACTCCTCATGGAAGGATCCTCAAATATTCTTTGCATCTCAGAAGAGTTAAGATGGCTCAGCTGGGACAGAGCTAACCTGCCTCAATCAGGAAGAATAAAATTCTTTCATTTCTATAGTTTCTAATTATATATGATATTTGAATCAATTACATGGAAACAGAACTAGGGATGTGACACTATTTTGCAGATTTCACATTAACTGTGTCCAATGTACATTAGGAGGAAAAAAATGTTTAAAAAAGGCTTTATTTAACACAGTTTTACATAATGCAATAGCCATCATGAATTTTTCTGTGGAAGTGGTGATCAGGAAAGGAAACAGCAAAATCATCTCCACTGCTATAAACAATTAACACTGTGCCCTCATATGTGCTAAGTATATCACACAGCTTTTAGCTGTGGAGAGTCTTTTTATACTAATGAGCTGGTTTGACAGAAAGTTTTGGGGCTTGATTTCAAAGTGAAAAGAGAGAATGTACAAAATTTCTAAAGTGCTGCTCTTGCAAGTATCTGGTATAAGAGGAAATAGGGAGCAGAGAGAGTGTTTAATGTGCTGTGATGTTAGGCACTGGTTAGTGTTCAAAAAGTACTTCTAAGATGCTGCTGCAACTTCTGCATTTGTTTTGCAAACCTTTCTAACATTTTTCAAGTTCTTGTTTGATAATAAAAGTGAGGAATGGCTTCTCAGCAAAGACAGTTCAACTGTGGAAAAAAGGGAGCTGGAGTCTCCTTCAGCCTGTGCATCAAAGGCTTTCCAGTGTGAGGTGTAGTTCTAAAGTTCTGGCCGAGGTCATTATCTTTGATATGATTTAGCCTGGATATTCTTCAGCTTTGTAGGCACTTGTAAAATAATTAGATGTGATTACACTGATAACTCATGAGCACAGCCTGCTTGAGGCCAAATTGATCTGTAGGGCACAGATAAGGTCTCTGCTTGCTGAATGAGGAGTACTGCATGTAAAAGGGGACCTACAGTATTCAACTTTGAATTTAAAACTTGCAAAACCCAGAATTTTTATGACAGCAGCTAGTTGTAGCTTTTTTTTTTAAGTCACTAGTTAAGTAAAATCCCATGACTCTTCAACAAAGTGGTAGAAAATATTTTCCCTAAAACTGCTTATTTGTAGGAAATGGGAGACAAAGAGCTTAAAAGTTACAGGAAGTGTCTTTCTGTTGGAACCTGCCTCGAATAGTCAGCAATTAATAATGCTGCATCATTTGGACATAACCTTTCCACATCCTGCCTGGACATGCTCTCTAATTTTAGAACACATTACTCATTATATGTAGTAGGTCAGGGGATAATGTTATACTCTAAATCAAATTCTTCGTTAATATTTCTAAACCTTTCATGTCTTCTTTCACATAGAAATGCAATTGTCAGCCCTTCAGTGTCACAATTTGCAGCAACAGGATGAGCAGTATATTTTCACCCTTTTTGCTTATAATCATGAAAGAAATACCTGTTACCATTCTTTCCCCAATCCAAATGGATTATTATCCCCAGTGAGAAGTGAGGGATCTATGCTGGGACCTCATTAGAACTGCTTCCAACAGCTGCACATTCCTTAGCACCAGCTTCTTAAGGACAGAGTTTCATTAGCAGCAGAGTTTCATCTGTGGATCTTTAAGTGGTTTAATTACTTAGTAATAGTTGTGCATTAAATAATTAGTTAACCCACATTAGATACCTTTGTGAAAGACCCAAAACATTTTTAATCTTAGATAGGGAGAAATACTGTCACAGAGATTACCATTATCTCACAAAGCATGAGTGATAAACTGGGATAGGGGCACTGCAGATGACTGACCTGATTTTCATGGATGTTGCATATGTGAAATCTAAATTGGCTGTCTGATTCAATGACCTGGGGAAGGCTGCTCCAAATGATTTGCCCACAGCTGCTCGATGACCCCGATCATTTAACTCTCAGTCCCTTGCTTTAATGATACAGCATGCTTTGCTCTAATGTGAAAAAATACATTTTTCATTGCCATTAAGGCATTTCTGTCACATAGAAAAGAAACCAGCATTGTCTTCATAGAAGAGAATCCAGCAATATTTGGATAGAAAACCCAGTTTACCATGCTTCATTGGTAAAAGTTAATAGAAATAGGGAATAAATGTAAATTTTAAAAAGTATGACTTTAAAACACCAGAAAACACATTGTTGGAAGAGAATGAGCCAAATGAAAGGAAAAGGATCTGATTTTCCAGTCTTCTCAGTTAAAATAGAAGTGAATTTGGCAGAAGTTCTTCCAGTAAAATCTGCTTTAGAATAAAAACACTGCCGCTGAAGCTAATGAACAAAACACTCATATTTTTACCAGAGCTAATGAAAAACTCTTTTACTTAAGTCAGTGTACTCTTTTATATTATCTGCAGGTTTTGCACAGTGTTTGCACTACTTTATCTGTGGTTTTCTCACTTTATTAATTTTTTTTTCTGTAAAAGAAAGGGTTGACAAATGACTGCACCTATAAGTTGTAGATGACACAGAGAGGTGTGGCTGATACTGGTGGTAGTGTCAACCCAGGGCAGCTCACTCTCTTAATTATTGGCCCCAGCTTACAGGAGAAAATCTCTTAGCATAGTGAGAGGCCTTTGCAGTAATAGATAATGAATTAACTAGAGGGAGGTTAACAAAACAGTACACATCAGCACATAAACCTCTTCCATTAAGTACTAACTGCATGAATTGCCCCCCTCTCTTTTTCTTTTAGAGATAAGAATAGATTCATTAAAGTAGTTCTAAATATTTTATCACCTTTAATGTACTCGTGCAGACAAGACTTTGCAATGCAGCCTCAGACATAATTCCTAAATGAGCTCTCTCCTTCATAAAACCTCTCATTAATCTGTCTAAAAGAAGATGTGTGTCTGTCTGCTCAATACAACCACTGTCAAACCTGTGATGTGTTGGTTTTATGTGTAATAAAATAAAGCAGCCTAAACTCTGTAGATAAAAAAAACATTAATGACAGGATTATAATTCCTGAAGCTAATAGAACACTTGCCTTTTTTTCTGTGGAGAAATAAGATTCTTGGGGTTTTGAATCAATGAGTGCCTCTCATAATTAAAATGAGTGGTCATGGAGTGCACTCATTGTCCTTCTGAAATAGAGGGAAGTTCTCCTCGCAAGTAGAGGAAAACTGGACCTTTTTAAAACCATTCTGAATTTGTTTCCAAGTCCAAGGGTGTAAATGATGAGCCATTCTCTTGGGAGTGCCTAATCACTATTTAGATTACAGGTGTTAGCTTGATAACTGAAAATGATCTTCACTTTGACAGGACTTGTCACATCGTGACATCTTGTGGAACAAATCATTCCTGGTACACTTGGGTACATCTTCTACCCATCAAATGGCTTCAGTTTTGTGACAGACATGAGGGGGCCACACAGAGAGAGCAAAGGGTCCTAATCATTCACTTTGGGACAGTGCTACATAACAGAGCACTTTGCAAAAATCCAAGACATTTCAGGCAGAATGGAGAACATTCCCAAAGTGCAGTTACAGAGCCAAATGAAAAAGCAGCTTGTATTTCTGGAGAAGGGGTAGACAGGCATGTGAAGAAAATTATATAAACAGATGTTAAGGGCACTAGGTAGAATTAGGGATTTTAATTAAAAAAAAAAAAAAAAAAAAAAAAACAACAAAACACCACAAACAAACCAAAAACCTTTGTCTTGGAAGAACGGTGGAAGTAGAGAATGTGGCCCTGGGACTAAAATGTTCATCTTTGTCAGAAGCCTTGACATGGAAACATAGCATCCTCAATCTCCAGGTTGTTGTGGATAAACATTTAAAATCTGCTGTGAGGAGCTGTACATTTATAGACTCTGTTCACACTCTCTTAGTGGCCCATTATAAATCTTTATTTTATGTGAAGGGTAGTGAAGGAAGGAAAGATTTTCCTGATTTATGGTAGAAACTACAAGTATTTAATGTTTCAAGGATGGATCTTATCCTCTCTTGGTGTAAAGATTTTGCCCTGAGAGGCAGAAAAACTGATACTAGCAAAGTTCCAATGACTTAAGAAGAGCCAAAGCAATAAAATAATTAAGCTGGATTTCCTGTTGGCATTCCTTGCATGGCCAGCTTTAGACAGACCTGGAGGAGGGCACCTAGGTTACTGCTGCAATATGAAATATTTGGTGTATGGCACTGAGAGAACTGTAGTCTTTGGGATATTCCCACGGGCAGGTTGCATATAGTTAGTGAGCAGTTCCTGGAAGAAGGAGGATGCTTAATCATCATTTGAAAAGAAAAAAAAGTGTTGTTGTTTTATTCCAGATGTATAACTTTTCATAATTCCCTTCTCATGTATAATTCTAAGGCAAACAGATGAATGTGTTATTGCACAGAACATGCATTTTATTTCCCTGTGTTGTTGGGTAAGGGCTCAAGCTGGTGCTTTTGCACAGAACCAAGCTCTGTTTCATACAGTCCTTTATTCTGGACTTTGTTTGCACAAGGTTTGCAAATAAATAAAAATGTTGCCTACCTGAATACAGTGGTGATGGAGCACAATAAATCTAAGTGTATGTATCAGTCCCTGATGCTCCTCAAAAAATCCAAATGGATTTTTAAAGGGTAAGTATAGATATTTTTAGAATTTCTAGTTTATACATAAATATTGATAAGTTCCACTAAACAAACCATTAAAAATACTTTAAATGCATTAAGATATCTTACTGAAAAGCCATTCCCACTATCAATATCTTGCTGCTGGTTATGCTTTTGTATTAAGTCAAACAAGGAACTTTGTGAGGGAGATGGACTTTTCACTCAGAAGAGCATGGATTGTGATGTTTGAAACATGAAGGACTTTAAGTGATTTCCAAAACTGAGGAAATTGGGGGGAAAAAAATCAATGTAATAACAGCATTGTGTGGAATAGACAAACATTTTTCTTGTTGCACTTTGCTTTGACACTCACACAGTGGTATGTGCAGAATATTTAAGCATCACTGGCAAGAACTAACAGCAGTTTTGTTCACGTGAAGCTTGTCAGGCTGGTTCTATTACTTGCTCTAAATGAAATCATCTCAGGGATCCCATACCTGGGAATTCTTGCAGGACATCTGAGTTCAGCCAGAGTTGAGCCACCAGAGAATGGGATATTTTTTAAGGGTACACCCAGGTTTCCCATAGGAAATCTGGAAATCAGCCCAATCTGGCAGGGAACAACTGCACCTCTGGTGTGGCCATGTCTGTACAGGACACCCTAAACTGGAGACTTCAGTCCACCAGCTCCACAGTGGCAAGAGTTCCTCACTGAGGCAGGTAGGAAATGCACCACAGCTATTCCTGCAAGGCCCAAATTAAATCAAAATCCTCAGTTAAAAGCAGGTGTTTATTCTTAGAAATGTGTTTTAAAAAAAAGACCTGAAAATAGGAAAAACGGCCTGGAAACATTCATTATTCTATGTTAAAGCATGTTACAAACAGTATAACTTTTTTTAGAACAAGTTTTTTATTTTTATTTTTAGCTTATAATATTATATATTTCCTATATATTTTATATATATATAGTATAATGTTATATAGGATATATTTGGTGTTATAATACCAAATATAAAGTTAAAAAATCATCTGCTTGGGGCTAAACAAATTGTCTTTAGCTAAATGGATTGCCTTTATGAATTATAATGTTTTTTAGAATCAGAGCAAAATCAACTTTTAGATTCTCAGAATCTTAGTCAACTGGAATTCTTGTTCTGCCACCAGCTCTGAGGAAAAGTCTGGAAGTATGAATATCATTTGGAGAGGAAGATGGGATACAGGTCTTAAGGCAATCATGAAAAAGACAGAGGTGCTTCTCCAGAAAAAAAAAAAAAAAGTTTGCTGCTGCCAGCAATTGAAAACTCTTAACCAAAAGGCTGAGGCTTTTTAAAAATCTTTATATTGATCTGGGACTTCTATATTTTTTTTGGTTTATCTCTGAATGTCATTCAAAAAATAATTGTTGCAAATGTTTAGCAGAAATGGCTATTTCAGTGGTGCATTCGAGACTAATTTCTCTGTTTCAGATAAAATGATGTGCACTGAAGTGGCTGCTGCATTTGGGAGACAGTGAAAGCTCTTTTCTTCATAAATTATGACTAAGCTGACAGTGAAGGTATGTGCCAGTCTGCTCCTTGAATACCTTTTTTTCCATGAGTTTGTATTGATGAGTTTATAGAGCTGAATGCACAGGTATTTTTGTCCTAGTTGGAGGGAAATGGGAAGAAATGCAAAACAACTTTCTTCATCTTTTGAAAATTTTTAATTTAATTTTTAAAGAAATAAAATTTTTCATGTCAGTTGCTTATGATATTTTTATAGTAAAGTGGTTTGAAAACCTTACAATAATACAAAAATAAATTTTATTTTGAGCAGATATTTTAAGTGGTTATTTTTTTTAGTTTCCTTCAATTTTATATCTGAACAAGTATGTGGTACCAAGTGAAAGCCAATCTGAACTGCTTTGGATTGTTTAATGTAGCAAAAATCAAAAATAAATTAGAAAACAAAAAATAACTTGGTTAAAAACATTCCCTTGCACCTGGACAGGACAGCAGCACACATTTCCCTTCTTAGGATTACTCTTTTCTTGTAAATATTGACATATCTTGTGCAGAAATCAGTAGCTTCCAAGAGAAGTCACCTTATCACATCTCCACCATGGGATTGGAGGAGCTGATTCAAATCTGTGATTTGGTGCAGGGACAGAGCAGGTTTGGAGAGGAAGGGCAGCACCAGCTCTGAGGAGATGTCAGAATTGTGACTGGAGCCATCAAGAGCGTGGCATTTGTGGAGTCATCCCTGTCCACAGGTTTGCTAAATGGGAACCATTTATCAGGCAAGTAGGCTGAAGTCTATTTTATAATCCTGCAGCAGGTCACACAGGACATCCTTTTCTTAAAGGGTTTCTTGAGACAGGAGCCCAAAGTGCATCTTTGTTCCTTGGTTGTGCTTCTTACAGCCACAGGCCAGCGTTGCTGCAGCCAGAAGTGTCACTGAAGTGACTTGCAGGGGATGTTCCCTGCTGGATCCCAGAGCAGCTGGCTTCTGCCTCGCTTGCAATAAAACCCCAAACCTCTGATGCACTGGGGAATCAAAGCCATTAACTCCTACAAACCACAGTAACTTTTTGAAGTTACCCTCAAAGATGATCAGTGAACCAGTAAAGGATTTAATGGATCAGTGAGGGGATAAGCAGAGATTTCCACTCCCATCCCCAGCCTCCTGAAACAGGAGCCCTAATAGGAACTGTGTTATCAGACCTCCATCTGCCCACCTTAAGACCTCTCAACAGCTCACAGGAAAAATTCAGGTCTCCCTGATGCTGCTTCAGACCACTGCTTTGCTGTTGCAGCAAATCTTTGCAAGATTTCCTCAAGAATGAGAACAGGGTATATTTTCCCTCTCGTTCTTGCCAAAGCTATAATAAAATACCTTGAACAGATTATCTTACTAGAGAATCTTGAATAGAGAATTCCAGTTTCCTGACCCCTGCCTCTTACAAAGCTAATTTCCTTCAGGGGACAAATGGGTTTGTATAGGAATTCATCATTTTTGCTTGTCACAAAAAAAAATATTTGAACACAGAAGAAAATTCAGTCTCTGAGGATTTTTGAAGAACACAATTCCTTCTGCTTGAAATCTTTATCAGACCATCTCATTAGATGGCTCAATCTACTGCAGAAAGATCTTTAAGCAGCTGCTGCACAGACTGAGGGAACTCGTCAGGATTTCCAGCACCTCCCTTGATCATGTCTCCTAATGAGAGCTTAATGATGGAAGGGGCAAGCAGAGAGCCATTCATATTCCATTTCCTCTTTGAAAAGGCTTCACCTGACCTTCCTTAAATGTCCTTCAGATTAGGTTCCTAATAACTTCTAATTAATGCTTTCCACATGCTGCTCTACATAGGAAATCTGCTGTCTTCCTCCTTTCCAATGCCCAGCAATTATTGTATTCAGCCACAACTGTGACATGACCTAACACTGGTGGTGTCTGTGAGGCCACCCCAAATTTATTTTTTTTAAGATGTGCAATACAAGTGCAAAATACGACTTTAGAAAAAATGAATTTATACATTTGCTTTAGATGTGTAAAGTATATTTTAAATATTCTTTTTTTTTATGACAGAAATGTTTTTAGCAGATTTTTGTTGGAGAGTATTAAAGGTTATTATGAATGAGTCACGCTGCAAAATCTGTAGAGATACATCTCATGCTGTCTTTCATAATCATTGCATGTTGAGTTTAAAGAAATGAATTTTTTACATTGGCAAAGCCTTTATTATTTATCAGTAGTAATGTTGTTTATTGTACAATGATATTCATAATTTTGTGTGGATTTTACATCTAAAAGTAGGTTACTGGAATAGCAAATTTCTTTTTCAAGATTTAAGGAAGAGGTAGTTATATCTGAGTATAAAATAGGCTTTTCTCTAAAATTATTCTGTGTGAGTACAAGAGTTCCCTTATTAGCAGGCAAATATATGATTTCATCTACTCTTTTTCTGATGACTCTTTCATTCTAAAATCCATTATATATGTGGGTAGTGGAGAGCCGAGATGTAGTGATAGCTCATTTTCCTGAGGTCCAAGCAGCAATGCCATGCAAAAGGCTTCTAAGCACAAACTGTGGCTTTAGACAAAATAAAAAAAAAAAAATGCAAGCAGACTTAATAAATTTGAAAGTGTGAGCTGCAAAAACGTGGCATTCATTAAATGTGAATGGAGAAGGACTTGGAAGAGGAATTTTTAGCATAGTGAGAAATTTTACAGAAATTTATTCCTACAATTCAGGCATTAGGAGATTATAGACACAAGAAGCTGGTAAAGAAACTTCTTTGATGGCTTTGTGATATTTTAAAATAAATGTTAAAAAATTCCACCACTACAATTCAGAGATAGTTATAGTGAGGCAGTGGTTACCTTTTTATGCAATATTTACAGGATGCATTACTTCACCAAAACACTAAAATTTCTCTATGGAATTACCAAGTGACCTACTACTGAGATGTTTTTCCATGTGCTAAAAATACTTGTGAATTTTTTTAGTATTTATTTTAGAACTGACTTCTCTGTTCTTATCTAAAAGCAGCATGGCTTGGAGAGTTCAGAGACCCCCAGTGCTCACACCACCATTAACAGGGATAGCTCACTGGAGTTATAAATGTCAAACTGCTCAAATGCTTCCTTTCCGCTTACAAAATTATCAGTATTATAGCAGTGCTCCTAAGTGAGTGTGCCAGCAGTGGCACAATTGACTCCATTCCAGCAGCAAGCTGGTGTGTTCCTTGCATGACAGTAATGAACAGATGGCAGACTCTGCAACAAAGTGCTGACTTCAGGCTTTGATCAAACAACTCATTTCATCGCTTGTCAATTGTTGGGATTTTTGCAATCATGATCAAGATGCTTTAGGAGCTGAGTGAAGTCATTTAAACCTTAGGCTAAGGTAACTGTGAATTACTCTCTTGTTCTATGAATTGACACGTTTTTCTGAAAGTGAGGAATTAATCTACTGGAAGTCATGATTGGAGCAGGAAGAAGGATGCCAGTGCATCCAGGCAAGAAGATATCTCTTTTTATATGTGTATGCAGAAACTCCATGACTTAAACCACAACTCTCACGTGAGCTCACGCTGAAGCGATTGTCCAGGACAAGTTCTGAATGTATTTCAGACTTCCTAGTCTATCCCTACGGTATAATTTATGTTTTTCCTTCCCAGGAGTACAAGATGTGGTTTTCAGACCATTTGAACAAAATGAAAACTGTCCTGTAGCAGTGACCTGACACTCAATTTTTCCAGTGTCACCAATCTCTATGAAATTTCATGTCTTTGCAACACACGTGTCTCATTTGCATTGGATCACTTCTCTGCCTGTTCTAGGGTTAGTGATGCCTCATTCTGGAAGAAGTTGTCCAGTGTCCCTTGTGCTACCTATAATAAAGTTACCAGTTCCACAACATCACAGGGGATGGCTTGTTCCTCCTGCTTTTATTTCAAATGCAGCACACAGAAAACCTGTGACTGTTCTTGCCTTTGTGGCACTGTTACAGCAGTTATTTTAAGTCTGCACTGCCTGATTTACTTCATCAAGTACCTACATACAATATGCTAATTTCTAATTCTCTTTTTCCTACCCATAGTGATTTAATGGATCAGTGAGGGGATAAGCAGAGATTTCTTATTTTTGGATAAGTATTAGTTGTTTAGCTGGTTTTTAGTTCTACTGTTTTTCGTTATTGTAGCTTTACATTTCATGCAGCTTTAGATAAACTGTTTTAGTGGTGAGTAGTGGTTTAATGTCTGTCCTATTAGAAAATCTAAAGAGCTGACATTCTGTGTCCAATTCCATTTTCTAGGCAGTATAAACTAAACTGGTGCACTCTCCTCAGTTCTCAAAGTCTGGGGATTAAAAATCTGTGTAATTCTGCTGGGATCCACATGCCTAGGCTCATGGGAAGAACAGATACTCTTTCTAGAAGAGGATTCTTCCTCAAATTTCATGACAGGTAAGTTATGATAACACCTTCAAATGTCAAAACATCTATTGAAGTTGTGGCAGAATTCAAACATCTTCAAAGTGATTCTGAATCTTTTTTAAATATCAGCAAAATCCATTTTTCTCTAACAGTGTTTTGGGAATGGTTCATTAAATGCCAATGTGTATCTTTTAAGAGGATCTACCAGAAATACTATTGTGGGAATATTCACAAGATCTACTTCCTAGGCAAAAATCCTAACAGTGGGAATGCCTTTAGGTTTGACTAGACTGGTCACTATAAACAAATTCAGTTCCAAATAATAATGAAAATTTTCACATTCTCAGTTAAAGCTGTTTATCATTTGTTGCTAAAGGAGGTCATTAGCAAAATCAAATCCCAAGCATCAGGTTAGAAAAAAAAATTATATTTGTGAGTCTGACTCACAGACAGAAAATCTGTGACCTTTGAAGTCTTCAATTACTTCCTAGAACCTGAATTTTCACCTCTGAATTTCTTTACTGAGCTTACTAAAGAACTTAGAGCAATCCCTCAGCTAAAGGTCATGGTGTTGTGTGGTGTTACCTGGGGTTTTATTATTTCCTCATAAACTATGACATTTATAAAATGTCAGCAGCTGGAGAAATCAGGGCTATATGAACATGGAGGAAGAGTAAAAAAAAAAAACTTGTTTACTTTGGCAATTCCATCATTATGGTTCAGAGTTATGAATGTAATCAAAACAAATAATATTGTTTACAGATATTATTAATTACTGTCCTGGCTTGCCAGACGTTCATGTTGGTACACTTAGGAATTAAAATTAAGTCATATCATACTTTATTTAATAGAGTGTTTGTGTCATTTCTGACCACAGAAAGCTCTTCCCTGCCAGAATTAACATTATTCCACTTTCTAATCCAGCCAGGGGTGACCCACACTAACTCAGGTGACTCATTAGGAGAAAAGTAGATCTTCCTCATATTCAGATAGTGCAGAGATTATTTTCAGGTAAGAGAGAGGTAATCATAGTGACAGATCCAAATACTGGAGATAGCAGGAGGCAGTCTGTGAGATGATAAAAGGGTCAGCAGAGGGGCATGAGTGAGGAACAGCCCTGACTGCCGAGAACCCCTTTCTCTTCTTCCTGCTGCCACCAGTTCCTCTGGTGCTCTCCCCACCCTGCTGCCACTGCAGCCTGACTGTCCATTGCTCCCCATCCCAAATGCCAATTTGTGTTTCTGTCAGGTGAAACAAAACCCTGTGTTTGCTAATCTCCCTGCACAGGCATGAGGTGATCACACACTGTGATAGCAGTGAGGTGCTGAGTGCTTGAGACCAAATCCACCAGTGTGAAGCAATGGAAAACCTCTGTCTTCATCTGTGTTTATTTATTGTTTATTTGTTTGGATTTACAGCAAGATTGAGATCAGCTCAGGTGACCAGCCTGAGGTTTTCCTACTTCAAACTGGTTAATTTACACTAGTGCTTGATTGAGCATCCTCTAACCCCTGATAAATACCTACTGAAACCAGAGGGATAAAGAAAAAAAAAATCTCTATACTTTAAAATTTTTATAATCAGTGTTTAGTCCCTGCAGTGAGTCAGGGGAAGGAACAGCAGCTTTATATCGGTACTCCTTAATTCTGGATTTTAGATAGGTGTGCTGTCTACATGCCCAGAGCAAGGCAGGAGGATAAAAGGCTTTGGTTAGAACCAGGCAGAGACCTGGGCACAGCTGAGGGGAAGCTCCTGACAGAAAGATTTACATCTCCTTGAAACTATTCATTTTGGTGTTTTTCTGTTGAAGTTGCAAGTGAAATGTGGCAGCCCCCCTGGGAGAGCAAGTACAGACCTTCCCTCAGGTGCACTTCAAGGCAGGTAGGAGGAGACACAAGCCTGGGGTATCTGATTGAAATTTTGGAGAGATTTGTAATCTGATGGAGAATCAAGAGTTTCTAGTGGCCTTTCCCAGAGGCAGAAGCTGATTAGAAATTAGAAAACAGAGTGGATAAAAGACATGGAAAGGGGGCAAAAAGGGAGCTGATAGTAGGGATGGGGAAGTAAATTGAAAAGTAGAGAAGTGAAAATAGGGGGTTACAGGTAACCTACAGGGCATTCGTGGCCACTGCCTGATAATGATTCAGCTGGCAGAGATGGAAGTCAAACCAACAACCAGGATTAGGCTTGCTCAGGCATCTGGAGTCCCGTTAGCACAGGGGCTTTTGGTGGACTGGGGGATATCTAGCCAGCTGAAAATCTAGCTGAATAGCTAGCTGAAAATCCCAAGGATTTGTTATGCATTTTCAAACAAAAATTTTGTTTAATACATAGGATTCTTTTGACACCTACAATTCAAGTAACAACTAATAATAACTAGAAAAAATTCTGACCTTAGGCTTATCCTCCTGTAGGGTTTTTGAAGACTCATTTGTTGCTTGAATTCCAAAGAATTTTTCTGATCCCATATGTTTGTTATGCAAAATGTATGTGCAGGTTCCTTATGGTCTCCCCCTCCCCCCACAAATTATCATACTGATAAACAAAACACAACAAAGCTCCTTTGTAAGTTATCTATTTTCAGTTAAGATCAGACCTGTGTCTTACATACAGCAATGGAACTGATACTTCAGTTACATTAATGCAAATAAACATCTCTGTCGACATTCTTGTTTATTTCTGGGTCTCACTATGTTCCACTATATGGAATTTAAGTGTTATTTGACATTAAATAAAAGGTGGAAAATATATTTTAACATTTTAGAGCATTTATGTTTATACTTAACTGCAGTATTTCTATTACAGTACAAATAAGAAGTGTTAATTATGTGATCACAATGGAGAAGAATGCTGACCATAACAAGAGGAAGGAGCATGAGTAAGTAATCACTGCAAACAGGTCTGGGAAGGGATGGGATCTATTTCAGAAAATATCACAGATAATTTGTTCACATCCAGACTTGTTCTCTTGACTCCTCTTATTGTCAGTGATGAAAAACATGGCAGAGATTTACTCTTTTTTCTGAAACTGGGATCTAAACTAAGATGCTCTTTGTCTTTTTAAAATATGTTCATTATTCTATTTGCCAGCTAAAATTGATAACTCGCACTGAGAAGCTGATCCAGGTGTGTGGTTCCTGAAAAGGCAGATGAACCAGAATAAAACAGAGTCAGTTATCTGTTGGCAGTGAAAGGCAGCTAAACATCCTCCATGAAACATGGGCTTCATTTTCTGCACTCTTTGCTAATTCCACAGATTTGTGGCTGCAATTTGGTGCCCCTTAAATTGCATTTTATGGCTTTCATCACTTTGTGGTTTTTTTTGGGGTTTTTTTTGGTTATTTTTTTTGGGGAAGTGAGATTCTGATCTCATTATCAGTGTAAAATCCTTGGAGTTAGGGTTGCACAAGTAAGGAAATGGGGTGTGAGCAGTGATTATTGGCTTTGAACAATTGGTTTGATTATAGGGTTATGCTCTCTCTGCTGTCATTGTAATGAGGTATTGAGATAACCATGGATTTTGCTAAGATACTGATGAGGATAGAGCAGTTTTGCACCTTTTCCCAAATATATCTATTTTTTCCTCGCTTATTGCAGTGGGCTGTCTGGTATTTTTGACCGCTCTCCCATGGTTTCTGCTAAGTGCACTAGTTCTTTTATTCATTCCAGCATTCTCACTTGTTATCCTTGAACTGGTAAGGCAACTTCACCTGCAGAGGAAGCAGGTCCTGGAGAGATAATGTGGCTTTTGAAAGGAGAGTTGATTGTCAGCCATTTCTTTACATAAGTAGATGTGTATAGGAGAGGAAATAGTTCATCATTTTCAATGCAATAGCAAAGTTCAGAAGTGTTTGAAATAGAAAAAGTATAATCATTAAACATGATGGAAATATTTCAGTATTTATTGCTAATATCTATCATCACACTCAACCCTTTTTATTCATCTGGTTGCACTATTCTTGAATTTGCAGTTTACAGATCCTCTTTACTTAGGGTCCCAAGTCACATGTAACCTACATGATCAGTTCTGATTTTGTGTTGTGTAATTGACAGCATTCACCATACAGTGCTGGTTTTGCTCTCTGCTTTGGAACTTTTAAAACTGGAAAATAATATAATATTCAGCAGTTCATGATACTTTGAAGAGACAGTTTATATCACCAGGTTTAAAGATTCATGACTTGATTCTATAAATCACATTAAAAAGATTGGTTCACCAAGTCAGCCCTTGTCAAATGTTCTTTGAACTGAGAGAAAAGGGTTAGAAAAATAAAACCTTCATGGCCTCACAAAGAAAAAAATGAATTAATATCAGTTCTGTGCCTCCAGCTGTACTGTCCCTTCATACCCAGGAAGTTGTACAGCTGCCTCTGTCAGCACTTTTCCATCTGTGTCCCATTCTTGCTCACACTGCTTCACCTGTGAGCTGAATACTCATGAGCACAGTGTTACAGGACTACTCTGCTGCAAAGGCAGAAACTTTTTCAAATCTGTTTGTCCAGCTTCTTATAAGTATTCAAATATTTATTATACCTTTTTTCAAACTTTGTCAAATTTCACTTAAATAATTCACTCTTTCTTTGATTCATCTAAATGCTGCTGGAGTTTGCTAAGATAGAGAAAATCATCCCAGATAAATGCAATGTCAGAGAACAACCAGGAAATGACAAAAAAAATTAGACTGAAGTCAAAAGTTCTGGAGCATAGACTGTGTTGTGGGCACAGCCCTTTTCTCAAGACAAGAAACACATCCTATAAAGTATGAATAATATGAAAATCGGGATAATAACAATCATCTTCCCATGAAAGAAGAATCAAGTACCACTTGACTGAATCCAAAAGATGGTGCAACTAAGAAGATGAAGCAGAGTTTGTATAAGCTAAATCTCCATAGAGCTAGAAGATCTAGCTAAGATGCAGCTTTATAATGGAAGTGGGACTTGGAAAAGGAAGTAATAGTAGGCAGCCAGCTGAACACTTTCAGTCAGACTCACTTTCTCCCAAACATCAAAACTTGGTATGATTAAAGAAAATGACAGCTGAAGTTTGTTTTGCAGAACAATGTGCAAAAAGAGGACATGTATGAAGTTTTCTGAATTAATTCCTACTGTGCTGTTTGAAAGCTTTTACACAGCCCTGGACTTCCCTCTGCCCTCTACAAAGGTAAATTCGGAATATTATTTTCATAATTAAAGACACAACCCCACATATACTTCTTCGTCTCTCTTCCAGGATGGTACTTGAATCATGATGTCTGCCTTGCAGCTACAAAATCCTGTTAGCATGGGCTCAGAAGAGATGCAGAGGAGATCAGCCCAGGTCAAGGTAGTCATGGACTTGAATTCTCTTTCTCTCCCCTCTCCTGCCTCATCACTCCTTGTGGCTTACCCCAAACCTGTGTTGCTGTTCTTTGGGCATAACCAACGTGACAACAGCCTTGGATATAAAACACTGTTTTCAGCCTCCTTTTGGCTGCTTTATCAATTATTAATTATTCTGTTACTCATATTATGTCAATGCTGTTACATCAGTCATTGGTATTATTATATAAATTATTTCAAACACGTATTTTTTCTTTTCCAAACTTGAGCAAAAGAGACAAATCTAGTCTTCTTTAAGAAAAAGGAGTCCCTTTTGACATCATTCCTTATCTGTAATCCCCTGCTAACCCCCAGCACACTTAAGCCTATACAGAACAAATAACAGCATAACAATGACCACTGTCCCCACAGCAAGGGAAAAATAAACAGCAGCAGCAAAACCTCAAACCCAGCAACCTACTGTGAATTCAAGTGCAATTGTTTCAGAACATATGATCCCTCTGTCCTTAGGTGTTCAGAGAGGGATGCCTTTGATATATAGCACTGATAAGAGGCTTATTCCATTAAGCTACAATGATTCTCACTTTCATGCATCATTTGACAGAGAAAATGAGAATTTGCAGAAATAATAGCTAATGTAAAGTATATCATGTCGCAGTGCAGCTAGACAGGTAGGAAATAAAGTTTATATATTATTTCATAGAGTGGTTTGCACAGTTTATTGTATGTTCACAGAAGAGATCCTTTAGGGTTGCTTTTGTTCCATACCAAATTTAAAACTGCTAAGAACATTGGATTTGGATCAGGATGTGTCCTCTTAAGAGAGGGTAGGGTTTCAGTTTCACATAAATATTCTTACAGAAGTCATAAAGGTTAAATTAAAACTGGATGAAGAAGAGGAAAGCTGGAAACAGAAGCATGAGGAAAAGAAAATGGTAGTTGACTTAAATAACAGCTTCACATAGTTCCACAGGCTACCTTATATCTTCAGACACACACAGGCACCACCTTAAAGCTGAAACAATGCTTCTGTGACATTTTCTTAGGGCTATTTTAAAAGCTTCTCAAACTAGTTCTCACCCTGCTTGCTGAAGTTCACACTGAAAAGGGATTTCTTCTCCATGCATTTCTACTTATGGGAGGATGGCATTGTAAATATCAAGAAAGTGCATTTTAATTAATGCCTTTGATCCCAATAACAGATTGGCAATGGTTAAATCATTTGTTGCACAGCGAGTTGTGAAAGTCACTTGCAGTGGCAAAATACATCACAGCCTATTAAAATGTCAAAGATTTTTGGACATATCATAAGCTCTAAGGTGGGGGATATTTTCTTCCTGCTGCACTTTAGTGCATCCATAACTTGATGGCCCTTGTGAGCAATAATGTGAATTGTCTAGCAGAAGAACCATTTACTATTATTTACAAAACTGTTTCTACAAGGAAATAAAGTGACAATGGCAGCTCCTATAGGGAAGGAAATCATAAGCATGATTTTAAATTGTGGTATTTGTATAGCTGTGCATAAGAAATTAGGGGGGTGCTGTTAGGAATTTGATTATTTCCCACACTTCAGGAGCAAGATATAAAAGAAAGGAGGGACAAAAGATGCATTCTGTCATACCATGCTCTTAGAAGAAGGAAATTTGGCTTAAGGAAATTTAGTTTTTCATGAACATGTCTTAAGTATTTTTACTAATGCTGAGAGTTTCCTGGAAACTTTTCCTAGACTCAGAATGTATCAACTGTATTAATAAACAATCAAAATATTTTAAATTTATTTGAAAATTGATGGTTTTCCCCTCTGCAGCCCTTAAATAGAAGATGTAAAGGAAAAAAAAAAACAGTAGGAGCGTGTGTGTATTGGTTCAGTAAGTGAAGCAATATCCTGGGACGTGTGAAACCCAGGTTCATTTCACTGGTCAGTGTGGTTTGAAGGGAAAAGTTCTTTTCTAAGACCATGGAGATAGCACCAAAACAGGTGAATTAAGGGACTCTGCTACATGCACAGGCAAAGTGAACAGCCAGCTTGTAAAAAGGACGTGATTTTTTCATCAATATTTAGTTAGAAGCTCCCAATTGATTCTTACTTTGGCCATAGGTAAAGCAATAGAATGCTTTGTTACTTCTGTAAGATTTTCTTTACCTCAATCGTAATCATAAAGAACAAGCAAGTTTATATTAAAATATTGTCAGCTTTTCCAAAGGTCTTACTCCTTTGTTAATAATGACCTGCTTATCTCTAAATTTAGCACACGTTAGTGTTATTACAGCTCTCAATGCTCTGTTCCCCTCCCTAGTGCCACACTGTTGCATTTCAGATAGTCGTGCAAAGGCTGAAAATACCTCAGTGCCTCCACAGTAAGGAGGAAACCCATGAGTGGTCACGGAGTTCCAGAGTTGGCACCTTTGCTTTTTAGATTACTTGATCCTCTGAGGACAGCGGGGAGCAGTTGCTCTTTCTTCCTTTGCAAACTTTGATTGTGAGAGAAATACCCAACCAAGTGCTAATTCTAAGAACTGGGAAAGTCTGTGCAGCATCACTAATTTTGCTTTCTACTGCTGAGTGTAGCTTCCCTTTTCCTGCTACTTCCATGTTATGACAAATAACTCCTACATTTCAAAACGATGGTTCTTGTTAAATATGGCAGTGATCTGCAGTACAAAACTGATTTACAGACCATGTAAACAAAATATAGGAACTCAAGATGTGGTAGAAAATGGAAGAACATTAGAACTCAGTGAAAAAAAATATGCATGTCTAAATAATTCTTTCTGTACTTGCCTTGAGGCAATTTTTAACTACATTTTTTTTTCAGCTACTACATTATTTGGTGTAGCAGAAACCACTAAGAGAAATAGGTAGAGCATAACTGAAGAATAATGCAAGTCATCAAAAAAGTCATAGGTTTTTACCACTCAGTATACTAATTTTAGAACACTGCAGACATCATCGCTTTCCTAGGTCAGCCATATGCTTCAAATATGCTGTAATAAATTTTTCATAACTTCCAATTCTGTTGCTCACATAACTTTCTAGTAGCCATCATAATCTTGTCTTTAAAACATAGCAGTATAATCCAGAACTGTGATGAAAATGTTCTGAGTCTTTGACAAGGAAGTAACAGTTTAACTTCTTGTTTGAAAGCTAATATTTTTAATGGCTGATCTGATCTTTTTTTTACAGTGTTTGAGAAAACTGTAAATTAAAACCTCTCCATTGCTCACAAATGATGTGAACTAACTATGCTTGTATAAACAAGTTCACACAACTCCTGTGATGTGAATTCCAATCCAGTCAAGAGGATCCCACAAAACTGTGCTAGGAACCTACTCCACTGTAAACACCATGACATAAGGAAAAGGGTACCTTATTCTTCATTTCAGAATCCAGTCTGAGAGGTGATCAAAGAACTGAAAAGTCCTGATAAAGGTTCACTCTGTGCCTGTGCTCTCCTTAATGACCAGGAAAGTACACTGTCTTCCAGCTTTGTAGAAGGGATTTTGAAAATTGAGTTTTCTAACTCAGGAACTCTGTCCACGGGAAGTGAAACTTCTTTTGAACCAAAACTACCCATGAAATCATTTCAGTGCAATCAGCTCAGTCATCACAACCATTGTTTAATATGGAAGACACATGCATTTTTTTTCTTGGCATGGTTTATGCATAAATTCATTCTGAACTGATGAAGTTTATTGGTAAATACTCCACATGTACTTTCTTGTTCTGCTTTTGATGTTTAAAGTATTCAAAAGTATGTACTGTAAAGACTGCACGATACATTCTAAGACCACAAGGCCACTTTTTTAAAGCCTGCTGACATAAAAGTAATGTTTGTTTAGGTACCAGACTAAAATGACATTTTAGGCTGTTTTTTTTTTTTTTTTCCTACAGGAATATAAAAAACATCTCTTTTTTTATTACTGTGGAGTATTTTCAGAGAAATCTATTGTAGGAAATAATGATTTGGCTGTTGTGGACAATAAGAAGGCCAACTCAGATGCTGTAAACCACACAGTCTTCCAATAAAACCTGAACTGGTACTACCAGCTGGTTTTATGGAGACTGATAACATGGATTTTATGACTACTCTGTAGCGTGAGCTGGGTATTGGCCAGTGACAAAAGTGAATAGCCGCATAATCCTACTGTTATCAGTGATGTTACAGCACCATCTACAGGGCCAGCTAAGACTAAGGTACGATAAAGGAATACCAGTTACACCCACAGAAAAATTACTAGTTCCTCTTTGAACTATACATACAAATACTTTAAACTAGTTATGTATAACCAAAGTACAGCTTGTAGAGCATTTCATCCCAGTGAAAACTCTTCTGTCTACTATGTAATCTGAACATTTGTGTGAGTGCCAGAAAAGCGAATCCTGTTTATAGTCATCCATCAGTTCAGTATGATTAATAGGATCATTTCAGTGCATGCTTATTTTTAGCCTTATGGAGGATTTAAGACATAGTACTAAACCTTATTTCCCCTTGTAATGCAAAGTCATAATATGAGAAAAATCTTCCTTCCCAGAATTTCTTTAAAAATCCAGCTCAGAAGGTATTTTGGGGTTAAGAATACTTGTAAGAAGTTCCTGTTTTGAAGTACCTTTTGCATGCCAAAATTTTGCCCTTTAATAGCCCATTTTGCTGAAACCTGTCCAAACAAGACAGTGCAACTGCCTGACAGTGGAAAATATATGACAACTTGCTAAATACCTCCTAAATTAATCCTTCTTGACTGTCAGGACTGAGAGTAAATCCCTGGGGATCCGGCAGAAAGGTGAAGGGTTTGTCAGGAAGAGTATATTTTAGATATTCTCACTCAGGAAAGTAAAGGCATTTTCAAATTTTATTTAACCCTGCTCTTTGCATCTTCTCATTTTAGATATGAAACATGATGATGTGGTTTTGAAGCAATTATGCCAGAGGACCAGACACCTTTGCATCTGGATTTGCAGATGTCTTTGGCCAAGTTAGATGATGAGAGGTAAGTAGATCACTATGCTGGTATTTCTTTGAAATTGTCTAAAAATTAGGATTTAATCTGTGTGGAATCCACGGCATAATTTCTGCAGTAAGATATAATTCTTTGCATATTTTTCATTACAAGCCCTGAATGAAGATGATTTCTTCCCTCATTTATGGCAGCTTACCTTTAATGTTTAGAAAAGAACCTCAAACCTAAAAATACGGATGGTAAAACCAGCGCCTGGATCAGGTAGCTCTCAACAACCCTAGGAGCTCCAGTGGTCAGTATCACCTCGTGTCTCCTTGAAATACAGTGTAGCTTTAGATAGTGAAATTATTTACCAAATTCAACAGCACATGGACTGGAATTCAGATGTATAGAGTTACAACTGAAAGTCTCAACTAATCTCCAGTTTATCCTCACAGCACCCAAAAACCCACTGGTGCCTGTGTTTTCACTGGGGGGATTCTCAGGGTCTCTGTGTAGCGCTCTGCACATGTTCACAGCAGCAGCTGTGTGGGAAAGGCTGCCAGCTTCTCCCCATCTGCCCTGGGCTCACCTCTGAGTCAGAACAGACAAATGAGGTGACATTTTGACTTCATCTTCAGGAGATCTGAGGAGCATTCATTGCCACACCTGATGTGTAAGAGTGACATTTGGCAGCACCCACAGGGAGGTGAAGGCAGCACTCTATCCAGGAGAGGAGAGAGCTGCTTCAGGGCCTTTCCCAGCCCAGGGGGTTCTGGTTTTCCTGGTCCTGTGTTCTGCCATCCTGTGGTGAGTCCCTGCACTGAGGAACATGAGACACACACAGTTCCAGGGGTGCAGGAATGTTCCCGGTCCCTGCAGTGAACGACGCCCCTGAATTACTGCCAGCAGCAGATGAACAGAAACACTCAGGACTTCCCATGTGCATATCCCCCTGTGCAGACAAAACCAGGAGCTCATGTGCTAGCAAATAATGAAGCTTTATAAATGTCATTTTTAGCTGAATTACAGAAGTTCATGATTAACCAAGAGACGAGGCAAGAAAGACTTCAGCATCCTGCAGCTTTTATAGGGCTCCACATAAGGCATTAGGAGACACTAATCCTGCAGACAAGTTGTTTATGAACTACCCACACATAAACATCCATAATTAAATTTATGTTAATTGTTCTTGTAACTGATCGAAGTAACTCCTTATTGTCAGAACTTTTAATTATAACATATAAACTAGCTAAACATCTATAATACAAATAGCTATTCTAATTTATTCCAATTCCAATAAAAACCTAGTCAAGTACTAAAGCTAGTAAAGAAAAGTGATGCAGTTCTGGTTCTTGTGCCCACAATAAATTTAGTTAAGAATCCAGATTCTTAACTGCAGCAAACAAATATTGAATATCAAGTTTCCAACCTCTAAGCTACCTTTTCTTTCTAAAACTACCTTTCTTTCTTTCTAAAACTGATGTGTTAAAATAGAAACTCTCTCCTTGCTGATTCCAGATCTTAAACTGAATTTTTCACACTGCCCTATCAACATGTTAATTATAGTTAATTATAGTAAAATGCAGATACTTAAGGTGGCTATGTGTAGTGAAAGTAGTACCCTTGCTAAGACCTATTTTTTCTGATAAAGTGGTGTGTCTAAATTCCTAAATAAATCTGGACAGAAGGCTCTGAACAAGGTATAATTTTCAAATAAAATTCTATAGCCAGTTCCATATATGCAGTAACCCCCGACTTTGTTGGGGTTTTAATCCTTATAAACTGTGGGAAGCTGTATTTGGCACCTTCTGTTTGGCTTATCTGTTGAAGATCCATGTGATGAAAACCTAACCATGGGGGAACATGTTTTGGGTCAAACAAAGAAATGGGACAAAGGCTAGTACCCAATGCCATGGGTTTGGTGTGCTGACATTGTGTGTTCACTCACTGCCTGAGCCTAAAGTAGCTAAAATGAAACATTGCTCTATTTGTACACAGTTCCTTTTGGCCATGATCACAAGATGGCATCATTACAAAACCCTTCCCATCAAAAACCCCACACTTCTATGTGTAGGAAAGTTGCCTTTGCTTAGATGTAGAAGAGAATTTAGACTTTAGCTTAGAATACAAGCACCTCTTTCTGCCTCTAAATTATTACATGCAAATCATTTAATTAAACTATTAAATTGCTACATGGTTATTTAAATTATTCTGAATATCTTTTAAGAGTCAAATATCTTCAGTGATGTAGTATACAGATAAGAAAATATTCAACAAGGTGGTCAGAGCTCTGTCTGCAGTGATAATGGCTGACCCACCAATCACACAGCTTTCTAAAGGCAAACTCGAGAAAGGAGCTAAAGTGATTGTAATGGAGGGTACAACAGTTCCAAAATCTAACCTAAGAGCAGTGTAAGCTCACTCAGGATGCTTATTGCTTTGCCAGAAATAAGGGGATCAACATGAACTGTGCTGAGTTTTGGACAAGTGTGTCTCAGCATGGAGCAGGTCAAGAGCTCTACCTGTTACTGACACAGCAGGTCATGTAGATCAACATCTAATAGTTAAAAAAAAAAAAAAAAAAGTCTCTCAAAGTGTACAAACAGGCACAAAGCCTGGAGGAGACATAAAGTAATCCTTCTGGTCTCCTTCCATTCTCCTCCCCTCAGTCTTCACCTGAGGTAAAGAGTCCCCTGTGTCCTTTCAGGGAGATAAGCATCCACTGGAGAGAACTGAGGAGGAGGAATGAGAGTGGTTGGAAGTTCAGCAAACAACAGTGTTAAGTCTGAGAAGGGACAAGGTTAAAGTTATCACAGAGAAAACTGTGCTTCAAGAGGTAATGAATTCAATTTGCAAGGAATATCAGTTTGGATTCAGGAAATCGAGTAATGAGGCATTACATTAAATAGATTATTTGGAAGGTTATAGGGCTTAAATTACTTAAATACAGATTAGAAAGGTACATGCAGACATTAGTCAGAAATGACATGGTTAAAACTGATACCGTTTTGGCTTGACTTCTGGTCTAAAAACCATGCTAAGGTATCTATTTAGTTCTCTATAGACATCTGTACACTGTCCAACAGTTCAAAAAACTTTCATTCTCAACCTCACACTTTTTTTTTATCTAGATGAACACTTATATTCTGTATATACATCTGCCAAAGAACCTAAAAACTGTGAGGACGTCTTCCCTCAGAATTACTGGCTTACAATTCTCAGCATCTTTACTGGTAAAAAAGTGTTGTTCTAGTGCCACTAGAATGGCATTTTCTAAGGGAGACTGGTCACCTGGCACCTTCCCTTGTGAACCCCTAGATACAAACCAAAACAAACACAAACCCAGATAAATGGGTCACAAATTGCTGTAGCATTATTAGATTATTCTCTGCACTATGCTCCCAAGCACACAGATACTGTGTGATCAGGTCAGTCAACAGGATAGGGGCTGGAGCTCTGTTCTAGCTCTTTAAAGCTGGAACAGCAAATTGTGTAGTGAATTACCTCCTGTTACTCAATTATTTTAGTTTTCCACAATCCTGTGGCCCAATACCTGCTAGTTATCTGTCTGTATTTGTGCAGTAAATAGCTATTCTGTTTTGAGTATGCTTTAATGGCCCTGAAATAGAAGTACAGAGAAATGTAGGTGTGGGATGATAACTGAGGAGAAGTGTGACCAATAGCTAATTACTTACTGCTATGAGAATAGCTGCACTGTTGGCAGCTGCATAAAGCTGGATTCAGTCATAGTCATTTAGTCAAAGAACACAAGGAGGAATTACCCAAGGTCAACAAAGCAAATGTAATAAAATCAGGCTTCACATGCAACTGAGAACCAAGAAAGAAAAAAGAAAGTGTTGTCTTGCAAAACCCATGGAAATGGCATTCCTGGGTCCTTGGGTAGCAAAGGCACTGCCACCAATATCAGGATGCTTCTGGTGGAGACTGTGGGGCACTGGCAGTTTGCCACAAACTCCTCTCCCTGTCCATCTCCTTGAGTAAAGTTGGTGCCATAGGACCAACTCATAGGACCCCCCAGAGGGGCATTAAAGAAGGTGAATGTGACATGAAAGAAGAGAGGGAGATAGCAGGGGCTGCATGTAGAACTATTTTCCCTTCTTCACTCCCCACTTTGCTGATAACAAATTAAACTAATAGCTGTCTTCTGACAGGACACTTTTGTTAGACTAACAAGAAATTCTTGGCTTCTCACAGACAGTGTGCTCCCTTTTTGTCCCATGACAAGTTTTATTGCACTTCCATAAAAGCAGAGAGGGAATTTTGCTGTTTATATGTGATTAATTATATGGCAGCCATATTTCTGTATGTACTTTAAGAAAAAAATTATATAGCAGATAACTAGAGACAAGCAAATTCTAGGATAGCTGTTGCTGTTCGCTTCCCTTTGGAGACTATTTTTAAATCCAAAGTGCACTTATGTAAAAAAAAAAAAAAAAAAAAAAAAAAAAGAACCTAAAATAAGTCTTCAATTTTTCACATATTTGGTTTTTTTAGAAAAAAAAAATTATTAATATTCCAGTGGGGGAAAAAAAAGAGTGCTTTTCTTGTGTAGAATTAGCATTTTGATTAGATTAGTTCAGTCTAGGCATAATTTAAATCAGAAAAGGACATATACAAAGATTTCACACTACACTAGCAGATAAATACTTTATACATTTCTTAAATTAATTCCATATGCTCCTTAAATATGTGCAATTGTTATTAATCTACTTCTTCAGTGCTTTATGCAAAGTGCTTGATTCTCTTCACAGTTAATTAAGCCCTTTGCTGTTCAAATTGCTGTAATCATTGTAACAGGCAGTGGTTTTAAGGATCACTGACCATCTCTTTTACTCCTAAAAATCTTATTTTATATTTTGAAAAACTGAATGTAGATCTTTCCAACAATACATACCAAGATAATTTGATTTCCTCGCTCTTCTCTCCAGCACCAATCCGTGTCACACCTCAGCAGCACGTTTAGATGAGTTCCTATGTGTAACCACACAAGGCTTGCCAGGCTTCTCTGGGAAGCCAAATGGTGCAGGTAAGAGGGAGCACAAGCAGCTCTCTGCTCCTTGGGTGGTTTCAAGACAGCTTTTTTTCACTCATAACCCAATAACAAACTCATACAGACAGAAATTGCAACATCTCTGCTTCTCTTTCCAACCACAGAGAGCAAGTGTCACTGCCATGCCCAAGTTCATCCTCCAAATACCATGGCAGGGGGGACTGAAATTTAACAGAGGTTCACCAAAGAGGGCTGGAGCAGTTACAGGTTCATCTCACAGACTCCAGGGAGCCCCTAGAGAGCCCACAGGAGGTGGGGCAGGGACTGCAGAGCCCTGTCCTATCCTGTCAGAGCTCCTCTGCAGCAGACACTGCCTTCAGCCCAGGTGGGGGCACCTCCTGCTCTTCCCCCACTCCCCAGCTCAGCCTTTTATGAACATTTCATCAGTCTGCCTAAAAGCTGGCTTAACTGAGCCAAGGCTAAGTAGCAGAGATGCTGGGATCTGCTTGCCAGCTGGCAGTTTGGGATGAAATCAGCCCTACCTTGTGCTTTCTGGCAGCCTTCAAACACACCTAGCATTTCCTCAAAAGATTACTTAGAAATTTGTCATTTGTGGGAGCACCTTCAATGGCCTGCACTTCAAAACTCATTACTTCAAGAATCTGGGAAAATATCAAAGCATTGCTATGATATGAGGGGTTAGTTTTCTTAGTTTTATGTCCTCTCAAAATCTATGATGGGATAGGGTGGAATTAGTACATTGTAAGGTAGATTTTCATTCAAGAGCTCTCAAAGCTGTCTTTTCTAATAAATAAGTAAAAGATAACATAAACAGGAGTGTCAAGAAACAGTATCATATTGATTTTACCTTTTTTTCTAATTCCTTTCCTGCTTTTCTCTACTCCTTTTCAGTCATCTTCCTTTTTATTATTTATTAACGCCTAATTGGCAGGGGGGAGTTTAGCAGATATGAAGTAATTTTAAAATCTGAATGTAGTTAAATGTGTGCATCTGAATAATCAGTGTATCCCAAGGCAACCTAATATACACTGCATTTTGCTACACAATTGGGTTTAGAAAAATAATTTCCATAATTACAATTGTTTTGGTTTAATAGTATGGGTAATTATTGTGGGTAAGCATTTATTTCTAAAGTATTGTTCTTTTTGCTTTGAAAAAGTTTAATAGGAGTATTGTATTTTGAGAATTTCTTGGCATTTTAAAAATTCATAACCAAGACAAACTATAACTATTTTTGAAGACACAGGTACTCTTTAGCAGCATGAATTTTCTACATATCTTGTAATCACTCAATAAAATTGAAACAATAAATGTTTTAACTGCCTCTTAGCGAAGTCTTCTTCAAAGTTTCTGTTCTTTCTACAGTGGAACTAGGATTTCAGCTAACGGAATTGCACTGTCAAAACCAACAGAAGTCAAACACTTTGACAAAATATTTTTAGCTTCATCAAGAAAACTGCAGTATAGAAGTACACTTAGAACACTGAAAATTACCTTCTGCTCTTTTAATTTCATGTGCTGAAATTCTTATATTTCAAATAACAGTAAAACAGTTAATTGCTACAAAAATGCCTCTTGACTTCCGATGTCATAGTGACCATGTTCTTTCTTACATTACTTTGTTTTTTGGATCCTGGATGTTTAATATGTTATGATGCCAAAATATACAGTTCCTAAAGAGCTAAAAACATAAGAAGGAAGATTGTTAGAACTAAGCTATTACTTGCTGTGTTCTTAATGTTTTATAGGTGTGTGGTACATGTGAGCTGCATGAAACTACTGACCAGTTTATCACAGAATATACTAATGCCGTATTTCTCCCAACCTCCAGCAGCTGGACATGCCTTGCAGGTACTGTGACCCTTGGAGAGCTCTCACTGGAGCAGATTTGTTTGAACAAGAGGAGGAATAGGGAGGGTCCTTAATCCCCAACCCTCTTCTGCTGCTTAATGGGTAGGAAAATGAGTTTCAGCCCAGGAAAAGATGGGGAGGAGCTATCACTATCCAAATGTATTTTAAATAGCAGTACATTTAAATTAATCTTGGCCAGCTTTGTTCTGTCCTAGATGGTATTCAGTAGGTGATCTTCCTGTCCTTTACCTTGGCCCATGAACTCTTTCATCCTATTTTCTCCCCTTGTCCTCCTGAGGAGAGGGGAAGTGGGGTGAGCATGTGAGTGAGTGTTTGGATGCTGGCCACAGGTTATTATTTACATTTAGATTATACAGTATCTATTTTATCCAGATTAAATTGAGCATAAATTAATTTTTTACTTTGCATTTCTATTGCATATTCTAAAACTATTAAATCCAGTCTCTTTTATAGCCTATGTCTTCATTGCTACAAGTGACAGAGTATTTTTAACTTATCAAGTAGAAAGATAAATGTCCTGCTGCATCTTCCCTTTTGTTATTACACAGTTCCTCTGGAAAAGACTTAAAACAGAAAGTCAAGGACCTGTGAGCTTCTCCTCAGATTCTCCATGGGAACAGAGGTAGGATTCCTGATTATTTCAGTCCTCCTAAATCTGCTGTTTCTTTGTGGAGCAGCAAGAAACTACTAAAGAATCTACGGGAAAAACCACATGCTTGTATGACTGAGATGAATCTACAGTTTCAAAGATGATGGCAAGAAGTGTTTAATTTTGCTGTTTGTGAGCTACACATTGCATCTGTTAAATAGTTTTGGCACAAAAATCTGAAAAAAAAAACTGATTTACTATACTTTTGCATCTCCCTTTCAAATACATGTAGAGACCTTCAGAGACCAGAAAAGGACTTGAACACAGTTACCTTGCCCTTCTCTCTAGGTAGCATCCTTGGGTGTTAGCAGCTCATGGTGTGAGGGATACATGTGATTATCTTCTTCTTCCTGCAAACTGTGGAGCATCTCCAAGGCTTAGACAAATTTCTGGATTGTTTCATTGAAGGAAGCCAAAATTTGAAACTGGCTATTATGGCAATCACAAAGAAGTACCCAAAGCTACAGTATGTGCACAGATCCAGTGTTTATACTTTACCTGTCTGCAGTCTGGGAGGATGGGATCCTTTAGCTGAAGCCATTTGAAATGTATGGCTCTAGACTGACAGTTGTTTCAGGAATTCTTTACAGAGACAGTGGCTGGCAGGGGACACTTAATCTCAGAGTCTGTCTGCACTTAATGCTTTATAGAGCCTAGACAATCACTTTCAGCCATGCATCAAATTTTTGATTTATCATAATAGCCTCCAATGCTACAAATCCATAATCAATCAAAATATTTCATTAACTTTGGATGATTCAATTATGTGATAACTTTTTGTAAAGCCTACAGGAAGTTAAAATGTCTTTATATGTTACATCTATTTCAATATTTAAATATAGGTTTGAATAATTTCTGTTCTAGCTGATGAAATTAATAGTGTATTTGTTTAGTTTCATTTGTTTCTTACTGTTTTTATCATACTGTATTTCTCTTAGGAAGAAAAGTCTGAAAATTTAACAAAGAAATTTTTAAATTTTTTTTGTCTTTGATAAAAATGTTTGCAATTTATTCTAAAATGAAATAATAGGATTCTTTTAACAATACCAAAATGAAAGGAATTCTGAAGAATCAGAAGCCTGAAGGCAGCTTTTATCTTTGTGTCACAGAGGAAAACAATTCCAAATTAGCTGCTCTTCTGATAAAATATCTGTGCTTCTTGTGCATCCTCTTACAGCTGCCAACATGAGCTACTCTAGTGGATTCTTCTCTCTTATGGAATACAACAAGAGAAGTCTTTTTCCAGGTTTTCACCATCTCTTTTACAGCAATATCTTTGATTACCTATTCTTATACTTCTCATCACCTTGCTGCCCTACCTAGAAGCACTGATGTTCACATGGAAACTCAAAAGAGTTTACTTGGAAAAATATTAATAAATTTCAAACAAATCTTAGGAGAACTACCACATGAAAATGAGAAATGGAAATAAAGCCACAGTCATTTGCAGTCATTATTAATGACGAAGAGAAGTGTAAAGATAAAACACCTTTCTTGGTATTGCTGATCTCACAACAGCAGCTGAACTTCAGCCCAAAGCCATCCGCCAGAGCTGGGGGAGCGAAGCCGCGGGTCCGGGCGCTGACGCCGTTCGGCTGCTCACGCTTGGCAGCGAGACCAGGGCTGCCAACGGGGACGTTCTGCTGAGGGAAAGCAAGCAGTACCACAGTATTATCCAGCAGGACTCCCTGGACACTCACAGCAACTTCACTCTTAAAACTCTGATGGGCATGAGCTGGGTGGCCTCTTACTGCAGTGACACCAGGTTTGCTGTGAGGACAGACAGTGACAATTTTGTCAACACAATGCACCTGATTGAAAACCTCCTCAGGCCTCTCCCACACAGAATTATTTCACAGGCCATTTAATGACAGGGCACAGCCCTGTTTGGCATAAAGCCAGTAAATTATACATATCACAAGAATTGCCAGATAACAGGCAATTCTGTTACCTGTTTTATTGTTCAGGAACTGGCTACATCTTTTCTAGAGACCTGGCTGCAAATACTGTAAACGCTTCTTTAATGATTAAATATATACATTTGGAAGATGTTTACCTAAGGTTTTGTCTTAATGCAAAGGGAGTAGAAATAGTACCAACTCCTTATTCACTGTTTAACACACACAAAGTCCCATTTTCTCCTTTTGTGTACAATGAAATAATCACATCTCATCACACTGAGCCACATGAGCACATGCTCTTTTCGGAAAACTGCAAGAGACGAAACACGTGTTAGAAAGAGAAAGTCCATTCTGGAGCATCCTAGGAACTTTCTTTGACAATGGTCAAAGCAGCAGATGTTTTCTTAGTAGGAACAAAACATCTGTGTAATAATAACTTTAAGGTCCATGGACATCCTGAATCAGGTGCCTGGGTTTTTTATTAGGTTGAATTCAAAGGATTTTTCCTCCACAAAGACTCTGAAATCTGTTCCCTTTACCTCGGTGGGGAACACCATGTCATGCATGGTTGTGCAGTAACAACCCGTGAAGGTGAGAAAAACCAAACTCAACTCTTACATGTTCTCCTATTACCTGGATGACAATAAAGTTCTCCAGGTTATTCAGTAATTTCTGAAGATGCAGACCCAGCAGAAAAGGACTTGGAGTGCTGGCTGACAGCAGCTGACCAAGAACCAGCATGTGCCCAGGTGGCCAAGAAGGCCAAGGGCATCCTGGCTTTTATCAGGGATAGTGCAGCCAGCAGGACCAGGGAAGGGATTGTCCCTCTGTACCCAGCACTGATGAAGACTTACCTCAAATCCTGTGTCCAGCTCTGAGCCCCCCAGCCCATGGAAGACTTTGAGATGCTGCAGTGAGTCCAGAGAAGGACAACCGAGCTGGTGAAGGTCCTGGAGCAGAGGTGTGATGAGGAGCCTGGAGGAAAGGAGGCTCAGGGGAGACCCTATCACACCCTACAACTGGAGGAAAGGAGGTTATATAAAGGTGGTTGGTTTCATCTCCCAGGCAACCAGAGACAGGATGAGAGGAAATGGCCTCAAGCTGCACCAGGGGAGGTTCAGGCTGGCCATCAGGAATAATTTCTTCATAGAAAGAGCTGTCAATCATTTGAACAGGCTGCCCAAAGAAGTCGTGGAGTCACCATTGCTGGAGCTATCCCAAAAAATGACAGGACGTGACATGTGGCACTCAGTGCTGTGGTTTAGTTGGCATGGAGGTGCTTGATGAAAGGCTGGACTAAATGATCTTGGAGGTATTTTCCAATCCTAATGATTCCATGATTGTATAAGATAAGGTAATAGAGGCTTCACCACAGCCTGAAGCTGAGTGCACAAGCAGCATAATCATTAACATGCATTACCAGAGACTTGCCAGCTGTACAAATAAAAGGCTATAAAGATACTAATTCCTCGCTTTTGTTTGCAGTCTGTGGAGTCTGCCACACCAATGTGCTGTTATGCAAGCAGTGAGCGTTTACAACTCCTAGCAGGAATAAATACCAAACCTAAAACTATTAAAAGCTATAGACTTATCAGCAAAATGAACCAGTTCATCAGCCAGCCCATACTGGTGAAAGGATAAAAGAAATAGAAGTAATCTAGAGATGTTTTCCTGTAATCAGTAATTTGTGTTGTGGGTATTAGTGATTAGTCAAATCATTAATGTTGTACCTGTGTGCTTTAAAGGTACCAGAGCCCTGTGCTTCTGCATCCCCATTCAGGATGCCCCTATTTGTCTGAGATACCTCGTGCACATGAAGTAGTACTTACTCTGTCATCTCCACACTTTACCTCCCAGTCTCTCTGCTGGTTGGCATGGACCAGTTCCAAATCATAACAGTTTAAAGTCTAAATTTTGTATAAAATTTAGCTCACGAGAATGTAAAATGCTTGTGTTTTTACTTAATGAAGTAGAAATATTTGCCTTTTTAAGCTTCTTAGAAGTTTGTATTTGTGTTGAATTGCCATTACTGACATCCTTGCATTGGCAGTGGAGGCAATAATTAAGTATATAACAATACTATCATTAATATTTTCAATTAACTTCAGAAAATGAAAATAAGCAAAATCTGGGTCATCTCTCATAACTTGATATGAATTATTAAATCTTTTCCTGTATCACTGCAGTGCATACTCTGTACCAAGCACAAGGAACAGTGGCTGAAATTTTGAAGGGCTGCTCTTTAGACATTTATTCATTGTACATCTGTTTCAAGGTGGGTAGGGCTGCTTCTAATAGAATATCAAGAATATGCAACCATATTTTACCTATATTGCTTTGTTTTATAAATTCCACATTTATAGCACTGCCTTGAAGAAGTATTTTTATAACTTTGATGTACAAATTGAGGTACCTGCATAGAGCTGCTTCATGTTATTAATTCATTTCCAGATTTTAGTGGCTGGTTTCCATTGGATATCAAGCAGAATTCAATGCTGCAAAATCTCATGTCAGTGTTCCAAAGTTACAGAATGGCTGCTTTCAGCCCTAACTCTCTAGAAACTAGAGAATTGTGTGTTACCTCTGCTGCATTTGATGTCATTTCAGGTTTCCTCCACTGCTAAAGCCTAACATTTATTTGTTCTTTAGCTTTTTTTGGTGCATCGGTAAATAAAGAGGTGTAACATTCAGTAATATGCATTTGTGTACTAGGAAGTTGTCTAACTGTAGTTGTGGTATAAAGTTGTTTGTGGGAGAGAAAGTATCTATGCTGGGAAATAACCACTCTTTTAATTTCTGGGACAAAATCTCACAACTTCACTAATTCATTCCACTGCAGGTTTTAAAACCTCAAGAACTTTATGCTTTTTACTTTGTACATGAATTCATATGTCTTGTAGAATTGGAGTGAAACAGTTAAGGAAACACACTGCATGCCATTGAAAGAGTTCTTGTGACTTTTTTATTGCAGACTAGGTAACACATTTTCATAGGTAGGTCTGACTTTGCTGGAAATTCCCTTGAGAATGAAGCAATTATTATCAGCTAGCACTTCCCTCTCTGGGTACCAAACTGCTTAGGCTGTGCTAAGGCAGTGCTGGGGAAGAGGGCCATCTTTGGCTTGTTGATAGAAGTGAGCCAGGAGGAAAAATACACAGAGTTAGCATAGAGAGAAATAATCTTTTTTTCACAGCTCCACATCTCCCTCTACTGAGTGAACTGTTGCCTGCTCAAACTCTTCTGATCAAGTCATTTGACCCTGCTCATTCTAGAATTTCATCATCCCTTCTCCAGCACTGAGTCTTGAGACTCCTGTTCCTCAGTCGGTCTCCAGTCCAGTTAGGCTTGGGCTGCATTTCTTATAATTATGATGAGAAAGAAGTGTGTGAACATGATTGCCTGTGGGATGACCATTAAAGAATCACCTCCCTGGCCACTGAGGGACTGTGCATACTGTCTCATTCAGGGTTAATGTAGTGGTGCTTAAGCTGGTCTCGTAAGATTGAAATCCCACTAGAATGCAG